AAAGAAAATTTCTTTTCGACAAGGAGCATTGGAAAATATCGTGACGACTGGAAAGATCACTGGTAGAAGAGGCAGAGCAAGAGAAATGATGGTGGATGTCTTTAGACTGTGGCAAGAAAGAAAATCGTAAGTGGAATTGATCTAGAACACCAAAGACCGAGATCTGCGGAGATGCATGAACGCCTACGCCAACCGGCAAAGCACTTCATGGTAATAAAGGGACAAAACTCAAGTTCTGAAACAAGCTAAATTCTAGAAGTGGATGAACAACCATGACTTTTTACTGGAGTTTACAGCAGGTGAGCGCAAAAGAAAAAGAAGAAAAAAAAAAAACTGGGAACTGTGGCACCACACATTCTGGGTAAATCTTCAGTTCTCCACTCAGTGTGTCTATGATGTGTAAGCGGGTTATCTACCTTGATTATAAGTAATCACTAAGACTCCTGCAACATATCAGGACATTACCATAATCGCTCCATCCACATTTTCAGCAACATTTTCAGCACTAAATGCAGTAGTTTAAATTCAGATTTATCAGTGTGTCTGATTGTATGTCCCTCTTGCCCCTACCCTCAGTGTCGAGCGTGGGCCAGATCCTTGCTGCACTATTCTTTTCAGACCATGATCATCTAGTGCCTCGACGCCGTTTACTCACAGCAAAAGGGCTCTTACAACATCAAGCTCGTCAGGCATCAGTTTACATGAAGAAGTCAGGAACATAACAAAGGGAGAAGATCACAGTCAAGTCCTCTTTGCTACCCAGTGTCTGTTCATAGATGTGTTGGTAGGAAGGGGACAAGAGACTGCTACCCGGTGTCTGTTCATAGATGTGTTGGTAGGAAGGGGACGAGAGACTTTGCTACCCAGTGTCTGTTCATAGATGTGTTGGTAGGAAGGGGACGAGAGACTTTGCTACCCAGTGTCTGTTCATAGATGTGTTGGTAGGAAGGGGACAAGAGACTGCTACCCGGTGTCTGTTCATAGATGTGTTGGTAGGAAGGGGACGAGAGACTTTGCTACCCAGTGTCTGTTCCGGGATGTGTTGGTAGGAAATGGACAAGAGACTGCTACCCGGTGTCTGTTCATAGATGTGTTGGTAGGAAGGGGACAAGAGACTTTGCAACCCAGTGTCTGTTCCGAGATGTGTTGGTAGGAAGGGGACGAGAGACTGCTACCCGGTGTCTGTTCATAGAGGTGTTGGTAGGAAGGGGACGAGAGACTTTATTACCAGGTGTCTGTTCCGGGATGTGTTGGTAGGAAGGGGACGAGAGACTGCTACCCGGTGTCTGTTCATAGATGTGTTGGTAGGAAGGGGACGAGAGACTTTATTACCAGGTGTCTGTTCCGGGATGTGTTGGTAGGAAGGGGACGAGAGACTGCTACCCGGTGTCTGTTGCGGGATGTGTTGGTAGGAAATGGACAAGAGACTGCTACCCGGTGTCTGTTCCGCAATGTGTTTGTGGGAAGTGGACGAGAGACTTTATTACCAGGTGTCTGTTGCGTGATGCATTGCAGAAAGAAAAGACTTTGCTCTGTGTGACAACACTTCTGAGATCACCCTTACAAGGGCAGTTGGCATGCTGCATTGTGGTTTACAGCTAGGCTGTCATATCTGTGCCTTTCAGCCCAACACTTCTGATTTCTGCAGTCTTCGTTAGTCACGTTTTTTGACAAGCTCAATGACCAGATTCTCTTCCCCAGAATAAAAAGGACCATAACTCAAATGGGAAGCAGCACACCCTAATACATGAACTTATCTCCCTGCTATAGCTGCTGAACATTGAATGAATGAAAAACATGCACGCGCACTCATGCACACACGCACGCATACATACATGTATGCAGATACATGAACAATTTTAACCAGATACAACAATGCTGGAAACTAACACAGTGGCGTAGTGACTAGCCTATCAGCCTGGCTCTCTTGTTCCGTTTCCCAGTCTAACACTAGTTAAGATTACATATTTAGAAAAATAAAGGTGGCTGGAATAACTCTTGACCTCATAACCGATCAAGTTGTCACTGACATATAAAGGTGTTGAAAAGGGCTGTTGACAACATACACAAACATCGAAACCCAATGTATGAAAATACAACAACACATGATTTTCCACTAACATATTTTACTTCAACAACATAATCATGCAAAAACAATTTTAGCTTATAAAAATGTGGTTTCCCTTAAATTCTGAAGACAACATAACGCTTGAGTACATTCATAACTAAAACACAAGATCTAGTTCACAAATTCACAGACATATAAGGTTAGTTAGTCAACATATCATTGTCACAGCACTCCAAATCGGTTGGCACCATTAAGTTTTTCCCCGTTGCGGCTGCCTCAGATCCTCAGACTCAAAGACTCCACCACCGCTAGAGTGGTGAATACAGGCACTAATTTTCACACAGCATTTCCTGTTTTCATTTTTGCTATTTCGGAGCAAACAAGGCAATCAGCTCCAATAGCCACAAGATGATGGCAGCAACCACACCCAACGGCTGCACAAGATCAAGACGGTACGAGACGACATTATCAACCCAACGCTTCTTGTAAAAATCTCTAGCTCCGAGCAAACAGTAAGTCTATCACTTCTGGTTTAGAAGTAGAAACTAAAACTTCTCAACCATGACCCGTGTTTTCCTTCAAGTTGACATTTGGAAGCTGACACATGAAAACTCTTATCTATCAAAATGATAATGGAAGAATGTGGCAATTTCCATGATTATTCTTTCTTCTTCTTCTTTTTCAGGCACACCAGTGGCAAGTTCTGGGTGTTTGTCCACTTCTAAACTTTTGTACTGTTCCAAAACTTGAGTTACATGTGCATATCTCTATTTCACAGATCTAGATTATTTGTTTAAAAACTGTTGGTTCCTTGCCTCTCAGGTATATGCACCCTGACTGAAGGAAACACACCTAATTAGTCGACTTTTATGACTTGCTTGTTCGGTTTAAAAATACTGTTGGAAAAGGAGACCAATATCATGATAATAATGAACAAACATTTGAAATGATAGATTAACATTGCTAGTACTAACAAAGAAGTACAAGCTGCTTGCATATCCTTTACAGGGCATTCCTAACCAACCCCACACTTGTTGGATGTTTGTGGTTTTTCTAGGCAATCTGACATGTCGCAGATTATGACGAGGAGATGGTAGCTGGTGCCTGAAGCGATGGCATGGAGGAATATCATCAGTGGAACAGATTTAAGGATCAAGATCTGTGGACAGATCTGAGAGAATACACCGCCTGGCAGGGCACATGATGATGATGATGATATTGCTATTGCTCTCTGAAAGGTTCAACACTTATACAGGTGTTGCTATTGCTTTCTGAAAGGTTCAACACTTATACAGGTGTTGCTATTGCTTTCTGAAAGGTTCAACACTTATACAGGTGTTGCTATTGCTTTCTGAAAGGTTCAACACTTATACAGGTGTTGCTATTGCTTTCTGAAAGGTTCAACACTTATACAGTTGTTGCTATTGCTTTCTGAAAGGTTCAACACTTATACAGGTGTTGCTATTGCTTTCTGAAAGGTTCAACACTTATACAGTTGTTGCTATTGCTTTCTGAAAGGTTCAACACTTATACAGTTGTTGCTATTGCTTTCTGAAAGGTTCAACACTTATACAGTTGTTGCTATTGCTTTCTGAAAGGTTCAACACTTATACAGTTGTTGCTATTGCTTTCTGAAAGGTTCAACACTTATACAGGTGTTGCTATTGCTTTCTGAAAGGTTCAACACTTATACAGTTGTTGCTATTGCTTTCTGAAAGGTTCAACACTTATACAGTTGTTGCTATTGCTTTCTGAAAGGTTCAACACTTATACAGTTGTTGCTATTGCTTTCTGAAAGGTTCAACACTTATACAGTTGTTGCTATAGCTTTCTGAAAGGTTCAACACTTATACAGATGTTGCTATTGCTTTCTGAAAGGTTCAACACTTATACAGTTGTTGCTATAGCTTTCTGAAAGGTTCAACACTTATACAGTTGTTGCTATTGCTTTCTGAAAGGTTCAACACTTATACAGTTGTTGCTATTGCTTTCTGAAAGGTTCAACACTTATATAGGTGTTGCTATTGCTTTCTGAAAGGTTCAACACTTATACAGTTGTTGAATATAATGCAAAACTGTACTTTGTACCCTGGTGTCAGAATTATGAAACCACACTGATTACCCCTTAGCCACAGATAAACTATTATGAAAATGATATTTTTTTTTTACACAGATTTTAAGTTAGAAAAAATCGGCATGCAATGTAGAGTCGGTCCTAACATATGGCTGTGAATGCCGGACAATTAGCTGCATTAGGTTCACAGACATATGTTCACTCTTTTTGTTCCAAGAAATGCAACATGTGTGCTCAGCATAAGTATGTGTGTATCAGCGCAATATACTATATTGATTATTTCATGTTTCGTCTGGGTATACAAAAGAAATATTGCCGCATATTTTCAATGCAACACAGCATACGTTATATCTTTGAATGTCAAATACTGATGCCCTTTTTCCTGTGATTATTGCACTGACTGGGTTTCTACTTTGAAACTATCAGGGACTGAAAAGTTAATACTGGCTCTACATCATCACCATATAGAAAGTCCTTTGCAGAACGTCGCTCTCATCACAGTCTGCTTGAAAGAAACCTGGTCTCTCACCAGCTCTCCCACCTCATGTACTTTCATATTCAAGGAGTCACTTATATCCTGTGCCCATCTTCGTGTTGGTCGGCCCCTGCCCCTCCTTCCTGGTGCTCTACATAGCAGGAACAAATAATTTTCTGGAACTGCATGACGGCATTTATTGCATCAGATAATGATAATGGTGAGGAGAGATTTGAAAACAATATTTAAAAAATGATAATGATGATGGAAGCAAGTGACAATTTAAAAGAAAAAAAAAAACAACAATGTGTCTGCTTTGTTCTGTAAAACAGAAATCAAAATGTATCAACAGAACTGTACATATTCTAGACACATATCCGACATCAGGACACTGGTGGCCGTGAAGGTGGAGGCATCATTGTTGCTGTGGCCAGGTCAGATCTGCCGGCTGAGACTGCCATGTTAGGGACAGCACTAGCCACTGGTGGGGGCGGGTTCGGAGATGGATCCAGTGTCAGCAGGCTGCCAAACATGAAGTGTTGGATTATGGGAAACTTGGCCAGGACCTGCAATACGGGTATCATATCAGTCAGAAAATTTATCTATTTCTATTTACTTAATTTCTTCCATCCACAATCTTCTTCTTCTTCTTCTTCTTCTTCTTCTGCATTCGTCCTTAACAGTGAGGTTGTTGTTTAACTCTAGGCCGTGATATCTGCACCTTTCAGCCCAAGATTTTCAGCAAAAATATATTTAGTCACTGTTTCTGCTTGCTGGGGGCAGTTGGTCTATTTTTTTGCTCCCAAAACGGGGCCCAAGATCCCACATGGGGATTTCTAGCTGTCAAATGTTTCCAAGGGAGCATGGGAAACTGCCTCATTTTTCACTTACTGTGTGGATTCCGGGGCCCCATTGTGGGGGGGAAAGAACAGACCCATCTTTCTTAGGTTCTGTAACAAGACTAAAGTACAGAGGACAAACACCTAGAACTTTCGGCCGGAGTTTACAGCCAGTGAACACACAGAAAGTGATGAATCATGCAAGCTTCTAAGACAACAATCGGACAGGTAACTATATTGCAAGTTCACCCAAAACAAGAGAACTTTCATATTCTTTAAACTGGCTCTCCACAATAGGCAAAGACTGAAGAATGCAAAAAACTATGAAGAGGACAAGGTGTGTGTGAGCCAGAGCAGGAAGACTACACCATCCTTATCATGTAGAAGGTATTTTGCAGAACACTGTGGTCATCACAGCCTGACTGAAATAAAACAGGTCTCTGGCCAGCTCTCCTGCAATTTCCTGCCCACAATCTTTCTTATGTGCTTTGTCCATCTACATGCAGGCCAGCTCAGGGTCCTCTTGCACCATGCCCTCTGCTCCTGTTCTGTCCAACAAGAAGGCCACATTAGATATTAAAACTGGTAACCATAAATTGGAAACGGTGCAAGACACCACACATACTTAGATTCTGATCTCAATAACATAATTAATATGAATGCACAAATTGATAATAACTGAAACAGCAAAGCTGTAGCCATTTAATGCGTCACAGAATGTGTTTGAAGACATCTCAAAACTGCCATGACAACTAAGCCTTTAGTAGGAGTCTACCGACTATAAAATGGACACTCAAAACAAATCTGTAACTGATTGTGAAATGGACAAAAAACATGTGTAGGTGATTGTGAAGTGGACACACACAAAGATGTGTAACTGATTGTGAGATGGACAAAAAATGTGTAACTGAGTGTGCCATGGACAAAAAGATGTGTAATTGAGTGTGAGATGGACAACAAACGTGTAACTGATTGTGAAGCAGACATAAATGTGTAACTGAGAGGGAAATAGACACAGATGTGTAACTGCATGTGAAATGGACACACAAACACTTTAGTAGCAGTAACAATGACAAAAACATGTTGGAAACATCACCAACCTCTGCCCTGTACATCTTCAAAAGACCCGCATTAACCTTGGCCCAGTTAGGCACAGCACTGATCCCCCACAACTGGTTGGAGTGTTCTGCAAACGGCCCCGTCTTCACCTGTCAGAAATAGATTGTTATTTTTGATTTTGTCTGCTCATAATTTTAACTGAACTTAATAGATACTACAATATGGCCATATCACAAAACAAATCACTGTCAAGCGCCACCTATGAACTAAAGGTTAGCTGCAACCAGTCCCTTCACACTCATACAGGTTTCTTCCACTCTAATGCTTCGTGCTGTCCAAACAAACTATCTTTACTGCCTGTACTTTTAAGAAACACGGAGGTCCTGAGCCTGAGGATTGAATGCCACATGGCTAGCAGTCACAGGAACTGCAGGATTTGTATCTTTGATCCCTCCAACAACCTCAGAAGAACCCAGAGCTCTAACCACTTGACCAGCCTCCACATGCAGCTTTGTCTTCCTCTGAATGGATACAGTAAACGGCGTCTAATGAGAATTGACAAGAATGGCTATATTTCACCTTGTGGACAATTTTAGGAGCAGCAGCGGCTGGCCAACTGGGAAACCTAGATTCGATCCTTGGTAAGGAAAGAAGGTTTTATCTGTCAGGGCAAAAATACAAATCTGAACCTACACAGTCCATGGCGATTGCACTAGCCATGCAGCATTAAATCGTTAGGCTCATGTCCCCTCTATCCTTCATCGCCCTAAAAGTTGTAAATATAGGCACTAAAGACAACCGCCTCACGTGAAAGAAACAGTTATGTTTAGATTGCGTACTGGACACAACAGGCTATGCAGCCATATGCACAAGAAATTCAACACTGGGGATTCAGAACTTTGCACCAGAGAACACTGAACATGTTCTACAGACAGCTCTCTACATGCAGTAGAAACCAAGCCATATGAAACAGTGGAAGACACACAGCACACCACAAACCTTATAGAGACCTGTGGCTTTCTCATCTGAAAACCACTGACAGTAACATGTAAAAAAAACAATCCTACAGCCCTCACCTGGTTAATAAACTTGATGGCACTGAGGAAGATGTAATCTTTGTAGAATCCATTGTAGATGTCTTCATTGATAAAAGACTTTGGTTTAATCTTGGGGTGATCTGGAGAGTGACCAGACAACATTCAGAAATGTTAACAGCTCTGAGAAAATTCCTACTCCTCTGATCCACCTTACTACCACTTGTCTACTAGTACCTGTCCCTACACTACATCATCATCATCATGTACCTTTGTTAGATAGCATAGGTGTTTATACCTCGCCACATAACTTTTTCTTTATCTTCTGTGTTCGCCCTTAAAACAGCAATTGGCATGTTGTTTTGTGGTTTACAGCTAGGCTGCAATATCTTGGCCTCCTGCCCAACATATTCAATTTCATTAAAATCCCAATTTGTCACCTTTTACGACATGCTTGTTAGGGAAGCAGTAAGTCTATTCCCCCCCCACCCTTCCAAATGATGCCCATAACCCAAAGATGACTCCATAGATCTTACCTCTTGGTATTCTGGTTTATTTCTTAGCACTCACCGGCTGTGAACTCCTGTAGAAAAGTTCTGGTTGATCGTCCACTACTGGACTTTAATCTTGTTCCAGAACTTCAGTTTAATGTACACATCCCATTTTACAGATCTGGCTTATTTGTATGAAGACTGTTGGTTCCCCGCTTTGCAGGCAGCTACATCTGACTTCAAAGGTAACACTACTGATTAGTCGACTTTTATGATATGCTTCGCAGGGGGCAGTGTGTCTATCCCCCCCCCCCACCCCCACTCCCTTTTATGTGGAACTCTAGAACCCACAGGGGAAGGACCAAGCAGCATATTTTTCTGCCTGTCATGCCTCTTTGACAACAGATCTGTCTAGTCAACAGTGGGCTCTCCATACCCTCCCTCTTCAGACATGACCTAAGAACACCATATATCTCTTTCTGACAGCTGCATATAATGTTTTAACATGATCAGCTTTTCCCAGGAAATCACTGTCAGTTACTCTGCCAGTCAAATGTATTTGTAACTTTCATCACAGAAACCACATCTCTGAGGCCTACAAACTCTTTCTCATTAGTTCACTTAAATTCTAAGACTGACATGACGTCAAACAGCAAATAAAGAGCTAACACATCTCATTCATGAAATCTCAATTTTTGTTTGAAGTAAAGAACCATATAACACACCGTTAGGCATACAGGGCTAGACCTTCATTTTATAGACAAATCGGCACTTAGTATTGGATTTGTATTTTTGCCCTCACAGAGAAAAGCTCACTCCTTGTTCTACTCTTAAACAAATCACAGGTGTGATGCTTTCATAAATCTTCATCTGCTTGTTATTCTTCTGCATTTGCTCTTAAAAAGGTGGCTGGCACATTGTCTTGTAGTTGACAGCTAGGCTGTGATATCTCTACCTTTCAGTGCAATACAATTGATTTCAGCATTTCAGCATCCTAATTACTCAGCTTTCACAATAAGCTTGTTGGAGGAACGGTAAGGAGGGGTGGGGGTGTTCTTATTAGGGTAGTGGTTCATTGCCCACCATAGGGGAAGCTTAAAAAATTACAGTATTTGCATTTCGTAGCAGATACCTCTAATTTTTGCACACATGTATTTAGAGATTCAAACCTAAATACCAGCCAGTGGGTAAGTGGTGTGCTGGCTACTGGACTACTATACTGCAAAGTACTTCTTATGGATGATGAAGTAGCACTGCAGAAGGCTGGGACTACAGCTGTCCTAGTACACAGCAACAACTAGAAAAACTCCCAGAACTTTATGTTAAATGGGCTGATCATAAAGCATGTTTAATTGCTGTTCCAAGCTGCGGTATCTGCTTCTCTGTCACTATTCATTGTCTAGGTGGCAACAGAGAGAGCCTTCAGCTCAGCTATCATACAGCACTAGTGATTATTCACATGACAGAATGCCCTACATTCAAGCACACATCATAGACAATCACTAGTAAGCTCAGTTCGTGTTGATACATTCAGAAGTCATGGTTAGCCGTCGCCAGTCTCGCATCAATGTTGACGGTATGGCCAGATATTCTCAGCCACTGTAGGCTGCTTTAGTTGATTCAACTCTCAGGTTAACTCACATTCACTGGTCCACTTGACTCATCCCAGCGTGAAACAAAGAATGATCCTTGATTCTTTCACGCGTCTAATCATCTGTTAAATATACATGCATAACTTGAGCATCTCTCACTCATTCTCAGGTTTCACCACTGTCACATTAACCTTGTGACTGTCTTTCCTGGTCTATGGCTTTCCTTAGCCTCACCTCTTACACACAAATTATGCTAACTTGATGTTCACCTCAACTAATCTAAATATCATATAAGGTGTCTTTACATCCACCATCCCTAGTTCCGGGGTAGATGCTGACAAACTGCAATACACAGTGTGATGAGGTGCTGTGCATGGTCTTCACGATTACATAGTGGCAAGCAGAAAGTCCGTGCAACAAGGGACAGCACGAGATACTTGTGCCTAGTCGAGGAAGCGAGGGAAAGCCCGAGCTAGTCTCGTGGTCAGTCGATCATCAGAAGTCAGAGAAGACGGTTGTAGTATTTGAAGATGTCGTCTTTATGTTGCGCAAATGTTTAATGTTCGAAAATGTCGCGAGTGAAATAAATGTGAATAATGTGTTGAACATGTGAAATAAATGGACGAGAATAAACTGACAGAATGTACCAAGAAGACGAGCAGCGTTTGAGTTGTCAACCCTAGATGTTAAAGTCGGTGTAAACCAAGGTTCATGTCAAGTCTACGTCAAGGTTCAGCCCAAGTAAACCACGATTCATTCTAAGTTGAACCAGATTTATTCCAAGTGAAGCTTCAAATTATTACAAGTAGACCACAAATTATTACAAGTGGGGTGCTTGTCCGAAGGAAATTAGAAACCACGCGGACCATAAGCATAGGAAAACATTTTTGTTTCTTCCAAGGTAAGATAAACATGCGGAAAACAGTGTACTTCACCCGAGCAGAGCCTATAATTAACACAGCAAGCGCCGACAGGTCCGCTTCCGACCAATGAAAACCGGTGTGTCATCTACGCCCTGCCACACACCGTATCACCAAGTTTTGCGGATTCAGGAAGTTTCATGTTTACCAAAGGTACATATCGTAAATATTATAAATCAAGTTTGTGAATTAAATCAGATTTGTGACGATTATTGTTTCGCGGAAACCAGCAAACTATGAACTACGTTTGGGAACAAAAGTTACGTTAAGCTTTATAACCACAGTGACATTTTTTTCATCAATGTGCGTTTATCAGAATGGCATCTAAACGGTTGATAAAAAGTAAGAACACTATGTCGCAAGTATCTTCAGCGACAACAATGAAAGATACATCGATAAGTAACCAGAAGATCAAGATGTGCATTTTTTGCAAGTACCAGCACAGTTCTTCAACTATCTGCGACAGAGATCCTAAATATTCAAGTTATATTGAAGACCTGGTAAATAAAAAGTGGCAAAATAAACAAAAGAATAATCTTAAAAAGTGCCACTTCTGTAAAGCATTCGGACATATTGTAAAACACTGTGTTGGGAAACAGATGTTAAAAGACAAGAAAAGATCCTTGTTTGCAAAAACTAATTCAGTTACAATGGATTCAGAAGGTATTCCTACTCTAGATTGTGTAGCATGCGACTGGTTGAAGAAACAGGGAAAAACATCAGAGCCACATATAATGTTGAGAGGAACAGTCCAAATGAAATGCCCAGGAACTAAAAAGATAAAGAACGAAATCGTAATTGCAGAGTTAGAACCCAGCAAGAGTAGTAACACAAGCGAGAAAGTTGAAACGAAAAAGACAGGAGCCACTAAAACAGAGAAAAAGTCAAACTCAGAAACAATGAAAATTAATCAAGCAAAGGATATCACTATTCCAACAATGACATCAGTCGAGACAAAAGCAACTCAATGTGTGAAAAAACCAGACTGTGAAATACTAATAGATAAACAAGCCATGAATAAAGAATTTTCATTCTTAGAGGACAATAAATATATAGATTATGATCAATTTCACAGAGCAGAAAGTCAGAAATATTGGGAAAAGTCAACTAAATGTTTGATAAACAAGAAACCAGCACAAATGCAAGTAAATAGAAAATCAAATATCTCTTTGGTACGTGACAAATTTTTAGAAAAATCAGATTATAGCGGAGAAATAGTTTACTGTTTAGACAGAGAAGGTTTGTTGATGCGATTTCGGACAGCTTATATTTATTTGAAGTCGCCCTATATATCAAGACCATTGAAAGTACTGGTATTGAGCAACATCGGAACAGATGTGATTCTGGGATACAAAGACTTCAACATTAGAGACTGTTCTGATGAAGACATACGAGTCTGGGAACAAAGTCATCTCTATCAACAAAAATAACAGCCATCACAGTTTGACATGCCATCACAGTTTGACATGTCATCACAGTTTGACATGTCATCACAGTTTGACATGCCATCACAGTTTGACCAGCCATCACAGTTTGACCAGCCATCACAGTTTGACATGCCATCACAGTTTGACCAGCCATCACAGTTTGACATGCCATCACAGTTTGACCAGTCATCACAGTTTGACCAGTCATCACAGTTTGACCAGCCATCACAGTTTGACCAGCCATCACAGTTTGACCAGCCATCACAGTTTGACATGCCATCACAGTTTGACATGCCATCAGTTTGACCAGTCATCACAGTTTGACCAGTCAAAACAGTTTGACCAGCCATCTCAGTTTGACCAGCCAAATAGTTTGACCAGCCATCACAGTTTGATCAGCCATCAGAGTTTGACCAACCAAAATCAGAAATCACCAACCTGTACTGTACAGTGAATGAACAGAAACATATCAACCACTGAATTATTCAAATTTGAAAATCACCATCAAGGAACACGAAATTGATTTTTCTCCAGATACCTCAAAATCGACCATTGAAACATTTCAAAATCATCAAATTCTAAGCAACACTTCAAGAGCATCTATACAATATCAAGATCGTCGAATACCAAACGTATCATAAAATAAAGAATGCGAGAATAATGAAGCATTCCTACAGTTTAAGCACAATCAACAGCCACAAAAATGTCAGTAGTACATCGTGTGTACACAAATATTAATTGTGAAAGTTAATCAAGTTAATAATCTAGTGTTTGTGTAAATATCAAATTAATGAAGTATTTTAAAAAGTGCATAAACACCTGGTTTCATTTATAAGTCACATACTGTGTGTATTGAACACCTTCCGTTTAATTTCATTATGAATTATTTTAAAGGTGGCATATTAGTGTATACAGTCACTGAACAATGATAATAGTATTGTGTTAACTTATAAAATTATATTTTTAGTCAGTATATTTGCAAGATTACCAGCTATCCTACCAAGAGAGGCCCCAGAGCAGAACAGATTGTCAAGAGAACCAGGGAATGAGAACCTTAAAAGCAAGCGCCAGAGTATAGGCAAGACACACACAGCCTGCAGGGATGGATCAAGATCAAGGATAGTTATTGGAATGAATGGGAATGAAAGAGAATAAAACAGGAATGAATGATGAATGAAAGATTTGTGGGTAGTATTTTAATAGTGTACATGCATTTAACTTAGGTTAGTAGTTCATTAGGAATAGTTTAGTATTCATGTAATGACAGAGTTAGTAGTTCATTAGGAATAGTTTAGTATTCATGTAATAACAGTTAATAGTTCAAAAGTTTAAAAAAAAAAAAAAAATTCTCTCTCCCCAGGAACAGCACAACCGAATTAAAGATTTAGCAATAGATCATATAGAAATCTTTTTCCACAGAATGATTTACATAAATTCAATTTGAAATGTTTTGGCATAGGTACACAGCACAGGGACATGCTAAAGGTGTCCACCACATCCAAGATTAGGAACCATCTATAGTTATACTGATGCTGAATAGACATACTGATGGTAAAGAAAAAGTGCACACATCAAAGCACAAGCACAGTAGAGGAGTTGAACTCATCTGTATCCATTTAAAGGGGGAAAAGGTGTGTGGGATTCCTTGGAGTTGAATACTCTGTTAAAGGTGATGTAGAGACTGGTGGGGAAACCCTAAACTCTATTAAAAATCATCCCAATATTCATTTCATCGGAGATTCCTTGGAGTTGAATACTCTGTTAAAGGTTTTTATAGACCTGGAGGAAACTTTAAGATCTATGAAAAATATATCTCAGCTATCATTGTTTTCATGTTAGATTCCTTGGAGTTGGGTAATTACTCTGTGAAAGGTGAGACTTTGGTCTATGAAAAAAATATCTCAACATGCATTTTTTTTTCTGTGGTAGATTCCTTGGGGTTGGGTAATTACCCTGTAAAAGGTGTTATAGAGCTTTTGGGAAACTAGAAGCACTATGTTAAAAATATCTTACCACTATCATATCGGCTAAGAGTCCTTGGGGTTTAACACCCTGTGAAAGGTGAGGTAGAAACATTGGTTAAATCCAATTTTCTACGTAATAAATATCTCAAAGCTGACCATCATCTTATCACTATCATATCGGCTAAGAGTCCTTGGGGTTTAACACCCTGTAAAAGGTGATGTAGAAATATTGGTTCAATCCAATTTTCTATGTAGTAAATATCTCAAAGCTGATCATCATCACTATCATTTCACTTTGAACCTGATAGAGTAGATATAGTGACTAGACAATTCTACAGATGCAATAGGTGTAAAGATGGTTTAAACTCTTCACCAGCTCAGTACAGGGAAAGCATGCAGTAAATACTAAAAGCAGTTTTAAAGGGCAGTAATTAAGGATAATCAGGAACTATAATTCCTAAGAGTAATACAATTAAATTGATTTATTATCCCTCTAGTAAATATCTCAAAGCTGACCATTAACATCACCATCATCACAATGATCATTATTTCACTCGAACATCATAGAATAGATATAGTGACGAAGTTATACTACAGATGCAATAGGTGTAAAGATGAGATATCTATCACCAGATCAGTACTTTAAAAAAACATACAGAAAAAATTTTTGAAACCAAGGGCAGTAATTGAGGTTAGATTTATGTTCCATTGAGTCATCTATCAGTAAAAGGGAAAATGATACTTGATGTTCCATAAAGTATCATTTTGTTAAAAAGGGGGGGAGTATGTGATGAGGTGCTGTGCATGGTCTTCACGATTACATAGTGGCAAGCAGAAAGTCCGTGCAACAAGGGACAGCACGAGATACTTGTGCCTAGTCGAGGAAGCGAGGGAAAGCCCGAGCTAGCCTCGTGGTCAGTCGATCATCAGAAGTCAGAGAAGACGGTTGTAGTATTTGAAGATGTCGTCTTTATGTTGCGCAAATGTTTAATGTTCGAAAATGTCGCGAGTGAAATAAATGTGAATAATGTGTTGAACATGTGAAATAAATGGACGAGAATAAACTGACAGAATGTACCAAGAAGACGAGCAGCGTTTGAGTTGTCAACCCTAGATGTTAAAGTCGGTGTAAACCAAGGTTCATGTCAAGTCTACGTCAAGGTTCAGCCCAAGTAAACCACGATTCATTCTAAGTTGAACCAGATTTATTCCAAGTGAAGCTTCAAATTATTACAAGTAGACCACAAATTATTACACACAGAACAAGCCGCACTAACCCATTAACTGTGAACTCCCCCACAGAAATGGCAAGAATTGGTAGTCATCCAGACTCCACACCCCGTGGCTTCCTGCTGGCTCCATGCGATAGGTCAGTTGCAGTTTGCGCATCAGGTACAGATATCTGCAGAGTTAAATGTAACAAGTTCATGAATTACTTAATATTTCTTCTTCTTCGTGATCACTGGCTGTAAACTCTGGTTGTTTGTACACTTCTGGACTTCGGCCTGGTTCCAGAACTTGAGTTTTGCGTGCTCATCCATTTTATGCATCTTGCTTGTTTCTATGCAGGCTGTTGTTTCCTTTCCTCTCAGGTAGTCGCACAATAACTTAGAAGGAAACACCCATAATTAGTTGCTTTTTAGGAAATGCTTTTTGGAGGGCAGCAAATATATTCTTTTCCCTCCAAAATGAAACCCAAAAGGGGGAGAGGGGGGGGGGGGGGGGGGCTGTAATGCCTATGCCTTCATTTAGCACAACAGAACATTGATGGGTACAAAGCATAGAAAATTAACCTCCCTCACCTGCATCTACAATCCTAGTTATGCTGGTGAAAAAAGTAATGAGCGAGCAGACCAACTGTCAAGCAATGCACCAACACATGTGGGAAGAAGCATGGACAGAGCAGATATTATCAACGCTGTACGGGCTGGGCTAGTGACACTAACATGATTGCGTGATTTGGGAGTAAAGCACCTCTATGCAACCCTCAAGGCTGAGATAGGAGACATTATAACCAACCTCTCATTTGAACAATTAGTAGAAATACATTGGAGTGGCTGCTGCATCAGAGGATTGAGCACACCATGGGAATGCCCAATGTGCAGGGATGTTGACTGTGATAATAACAGAACACTATCACCTAGAAAGACAGAACAGTGCCAACAACAACAAAATACAGTATTAGAAATAGTATCAAGAGGTCAACAATTACAACAGACTCATGAAGCTATCAAACTGCTGAACTTGAGTACCAATTGTTAACTCTTTGAGTCCCAGGGGGTTTAGCATCACAGGCCCAGGGGGTAGTAAGTAAAGTTATAAAATCAGCGCATCATGCGTTCATTGGGCATCTAGGTAGGAACCTATGAACGTATGATGCGTTCCTTGGGACTCGTTCCTTGGGACTCAAAGAGTTAAGTTGATGATCAACACCTGAGATTATAATAACCCTGTGCATTCAGCTACCTCTAGATACCAGAATAACAGCAGCTCTCTCATCCAGCAAAGATCAGCCACACCCAACTTACCTCTCAAACAGCTTGAGAACAACTGCAACATAATCCTCCTCTCTGAGAACTCCCAGTTTGCAAAGACAACATAAAAATGCCACAAAGGCAAGCTCATGACCTGCAAGATGAAACATTTTGGTTACCCAGGGTTGAAGTTCCAGGCTAGAGTTGTGGCTAAGCTCCTACTGAGACCTGAACATCACAGACAGTGAGGACAGAGGCAGTCACTGTATATACGAGGTCATTGTCACAGCCTCTGTTAATTAAGGGTTATTTGTCTCAACGTGCAGTTTTTGCTTAAGGGTGTGCAATTCCTCTAATATATTGTTTTTTCTTCTTCTTGTCCTTTTCCTCCTTATACTCCATTTTTCCCTAGCCCTCCATCTGTACACTGAAGAATTCTATCTCAGAATGTCCTGGACACTCAAACACTTCAGCTCTAGCATGTGCTGCAGTGGTTCAAAAAACACATTAGTGGAAGCTATCGTTCCTAGTACAAGCAGCTAGGATCAACCAATAAGAAGGTCAGCCATTCAGTCAGTCAGCCAGCCAGTCAGTCAGCCAGTCAGTTAGCTAACCAGTCAGTCAGACTGCAGTCAGCTAGCCAGTTGACCACCCAGCCAGTCAGTCAGCCAACCAGCCAGCCAGTCAGTCAATTGGTCAATCAGTCAGCCAGTCAGTCAATTGGTCAGTCAGTCAGCCAGACAGCCAGTCAGTCAGCCAGTTAGTACCCTTTTCACACCAGTGGCTCCTGAGGCATATGGTGCTAGACTCATATTTTACAGACCAGCTGGCACTGAGTGGCTGATGTGGCCATCATCATCACATCAGCCAGCCACCTTTCCTTCCCGGGAATCTACCTGATACCCATTTTAGCCTGAGAGCCAATGTAATTTCTGAATGGAAAAAATCAACTCAATGTGGATTTAAACCTACCTCTTTCAGGTCAGAGAAAATCATCTAGCTGCTACTCCACCGTGGGACTGAGCCTCTAGAGGCAGGGGGTAAGAAGTGTTGGTGTTGTGGGTAGTGGGAGATACTGGAAGAGAGGTTTATAGACACCTGGCTGGCCCTGATCCTAATGACAGCATTAACCATTTAACAAGAAGGGACCAGGCCACCATCTTCAGACTCAGAACACAATAAACTCCACTCAATGGACATCTAAACAGAATACAGCCACAACACTCCCAAGAGTGCCAGCTATGTAACTACCCCTACAAAACTGTTGACCATCACCTCTTTGAGTGCCAAAAACTCAGCGAGACTAGAAGAATGCTACTCCCTCCGAGACCAGACAGGGTGAACACCTTGTAGGGAGGAAAAGAACAGCTTGCGAAAACCTGTAAATTCCACTACATGGCATTGGGCCAAAGGGCGAAAGATCATGTGCCGCTGGATCAATAACAAGAACAACCACAACAAGCTACTCCCCCGCAGCTCCATGTGATGGTGAACACAGAAAATTGGAAGCTCCTCTGATGTCCTTGATATTTTAAATTTTGACAAAATTTTTTTTTAAAACCATAAATGTGCTAGCTCCGCTGACCCTGCTCTTTCATGACTCAGTGGTTTGCATGTTTGAGGGATGGATTGTTTCTTGGACATCCTCACTTTCTCTTGCTTTGTATCTTGATCTTCAGTATTATTAGTAACATACCGAGTGTCCTATAAGTTTCCATACACTGACAAACAAAAACACATTTTTTATCAAAACCATTTTTACTGATATAATAAGCTAAAGGTAAAGGTAACAATAAACTCTGCATGACTATCACTGTTTTGAAAACACAATTTGATGTGTGTTCTTCCCTGGTTAAGAATGCACATAAGCACAGCTAGAGTTACGCCTGTAATGGCATTGATGATACATTTATTCTTCCTATGTATGGAAACTTAAAGCCAGAATTCAAATTTAGAATTTTCCTTTTCTGTACCGTATTAAACATTTGTAAATTTGTGTGATAAGCCAGTTATGCAAGCTGATTGTTCATTCCCACGGTTCAGTATTTATTTTACTTGATGTTATAAATATCTATTCTCATTATGATTCTTTATAAACATACACAGACAAACAACTTTGTAAAAACATGCACCAACGTAAGGAAACAAAATTTTCAAACAAGTAATTGAGAAAGCAGGCCAATCTAATACTCTGTCCTTCTCATAGTTCATATTTTAAAGGTCAGTTATAACAAATTTAAACTCATTTAATAGTAAATAAGCTATAAATTGTATGTGACAGACTGAAAAAAGAAACAGACATTCACATACTTACATGCTAAAATACACACAGCAAAAGAAAGCAGAGGGAAAAGAGGGAGAAGACAAAGAGAAGGAGCTGGCCTCAACAACAACAAAAAAAGAGAAAGAGATCTAAAGAAGAGCTAAGAGAACAGGAAAGACAGGACATGAACTATATGTATCAAAGTTAACACTTCTGGAGGGACAGGAGCAGAGAAAATATTCTGTATCATGGAGCCAAAAGATATATTAATCGATAACACCACAAATGTTTGCTTACACTTCTGGACTTCACAGTAACATCAAGAACAAAGTAAACAAGCACCTACCAGTCCCATAGTCGATGCGTGTATCGTTTCCCACACTTTCAATGAGATAGACAATAAGCTCAGGCACTGCCGGCTCAAACCCTGGCGGCAAGCTCTCCTCCAACAACCCTGGACCTTTCTAGCAAAAGAGAGGGTGGAACGAAAATTTGAGATCCTATGGTTAAAATAAAGTTAAAAAAAAAATAGTTTCTATCAACAAGTGCCGTGCAGACTGGCGTGGCCAACCATGCCTCTCCACTACCTGCGATCTTCAACAACATGTTTCAGTTCACATGCTGACACATTCCTCCATGATAAGACAAACGGCTGCAAGAATCTTCTCACAATATCTTCCTCTTTCTTCATATGGGTCTCCATAAATCTTTCCAGTTTCACATGTTCCATTTTCCCATTTCTGATACCATGGCTACAATTTATGACTTTCTTCTTCTGATGTTTGTGACAGGTTGCAAAAGTAATTAATCATATTAAACAAATTAGGTTTACAATCAACTCAAAACCTGGCAATGCAGACATAAGTAAGAAACTACCCAGACATGCATGCAGCAACTCAAATAGCCAAAATCCTGATATTTAAAACAAACATGTAATAAGAAGCTTCAAACACCAGACAGGCACACAGCCACTGCATACAACAGTTACCTCTTTCAACCTGGCAAACCAAGTTCTGAAAGCCTTATTGCCGAATCGCTGTGGTTGATCAATGGGGGGGATCTCATCCACCCACTTGTCTAGGACCTCTAGAAGACCATGCAGCTTCTCCACTTGCTGTTGACAAGACACAGCAATTGATTACACAGATAAATCAAATTCAAGAGAAACACAAATCAACAGTGGATCCCCCTAGTATTTTGCGGAACTTTTTTTTCATCAACTCTTTGAGTCCTAGGGGGATTTAGTATCGGAGGCCCCTTGTGGTAACACAATTGTGAAATGTCACAAGAGTAACACATTAAAACAGACCATACTAATGCAACTGGCCCACAACATACACATATCACACCTCAGGGTGAGCTGGGATTGTTGAGGAATAATATTAGAATACTGCTACAGAAATAAACTGTGTTAGTAGTTTATTATTTGTAAATAAACAGATGGCATGTTTAGAGACATTGGTAAAGAGAAATAATTTGTCCACGTACCACCATGGCACTCAAGGAAAACTTGTTAAATTATATCCAAAATTAATTGTAAATGAACATGAACCACTTTCTAATGTAAAAATAAAATATAAACACAATCTGCCCATTAGATCTTGTTCCAGAAAAACTTTTAGAACATCATAACAGAGCACCTTTTTTGGTACAGAAAATGACCTCAGAAAACAATTAGTATTTTCACACAAAAACAAACTTTATTTAACACTCAATTTGGCAGTAATTTCAAAGCCTATGTTTCCAAACAATAAGGGAATTGCACTAGACCTGATACTGATGAATACTGCTTTTGTCATGAACATTTATTCTTTTTGTACCAGCTTTGTTATCGTTGTAGGTTTTGCGTGAGGTATATATCAGAGCTATCCCTCATCAAAGTTACACTCTATCAATGACTGAAACAAGTCTACCTCATAACTTTCTTAGTCTAGCTTCAGATAAAACTGATAAACACGTTTGATTTAAATATGAGGCTTCCAAAGTCATAAATCTTGTTGACGTGCATGAAGAAGTCTGCTCAGAGGCCTTATTGTTTTCACAGACAGTAACTTGATAAAACTCACAAAGATGCTACAGTTTATGGCTTTAACTACGTTTTCAAATATCCCAAATGGTCACCACATGCGACTTTGAACCCAAAGAACAGGAAATACCATTCAAAAATGCCGGTCTGCATTGTTATACTGGTTATCATCATCATGTAGCAGGTCGTTTGCAGAACGTTGCTTTCATCACGGTCTGCATGAAAGAAACTCGATCTCTCGCCAGCTCTTCCGCCTCATGTACTTTCATACTCAAGGAGTCACTTATATCCTGTGCCCATCTTCGTGTTGGCCGGCCCCTGCCCCTCCTTCCTGGCATCATATGCCAAATATCTCAAAGTACGGACAGGGGTCCTTATAAATATTTTAGCTGCTGACTTAACAGTCTAAGCCAATGTTCTTCAACCTATGGTCTGCAGACCACTGGTGGGCCATGAAAATGTCAGGGTGGGCCACCAAATATGTCATGAGTTATGAGCTGGGTTATCTTCATGGCACTCAAGGTCCCAGCAAACTAGGCATTTTCCTGCAGCAGCCACCCCAAGGTACAACTACTGATTGCTCCCATGAGAACTTGGACACGAAGTCTGCTATCCTGATCTCAAATATATTCTTTACTACCATGTCATGTAATCATGTTAGTATTACTGACTGGTGGTTATTCACCAACTCAGCCCATACAGCGTTGATGATAACTCTCATCTTGCTTGTTCACACATGCAGTGGTGCAATAATTGTCTGCTGGTTCACACGTTCATAGGTGTTATATTCTGGTTCTCATTTAAATTTATTCACATTCTATGTGTAAACATCTGACTACATAATGCCAAACAAACAAGACATAACGTACCGACGACACAGGGTACTGGTCACGGATCTTCTTGTTCTTAACAGCATCGTTCAAAGCCAGAATAAATCCCAACAAATCAGAGTATGCCTGCAAAATCAGTGAAATCAAACAAATCAGCATTAATGTCTTTAATCTCCAGCCATGGGCTGAATACTGAGTCTACAGTCTCACTGAGCATGTCCTCTAGTCTGCAGTGTCAGCAAAGCTTATACTGTGTTTAGTTATTTTTTATCTGTGGTATATTTTAAAGACAACTAATGACTTTTTCTTAAACAGGCCTAGAAATTAATCAGTTTTAAATCTGAGAACAGAGAAAGAAATGTTTACAACAAATATAGTTTCTAACATGACACGCCTACCTTCTCTGTGACTAATGAGACTTCTTTTCCACATTTATCTGTCAGCTCTGACAGAAAGTTCTGGTTGTCTGTCCACTTATAAACTTTAATTTAGTGCCAGAACTTGATATTTGTAAGCTCTTGTGTTTTAAACATATGGCACTTTGCATGCAGATGGTTGGCTACTTGCCTCTCAAGCAGATACACTCCGAATTAGAAGGAAATATCCCTAATTAATTAACTGTTATCACATGATACATCAGAGGGGCAGTGGGTCTATGCCAGCCTCCCCTCCCCTCACAATGGGGTCTAGAACCCACACTGGGAGACTAATGACACTGATACCTGGCTTTGAGTAAGGGAAACGAGGGAAAACAGGTCTCAGATACAAACTGCATACCATAACAATCCCAAAGCATTTGGAAATTGAACAAGCAGGCTGCAAGGATGCTGCAACCATGCAAAACTGTAATGAAAGAAAACCTATTCACAGATACATGGAGCTAATTACATTAAATAAAAGCTACCTAGTGAAACCTGACTTTATATCAAGTGTTCTGAAGCTGAGAGATGCATAACTGCAAGGCATTCCCTTTGAAAGCGCACTAAAGAAGAGTTCGATTTTAAAGAGCCTCTCCTACATATCGAACTATTCAGTTAATAAGTGCCTGGATATCTTCCTTAGTACTGAATGCTTAAGTGGATCCAGCAAGAAAGGTCCTACAAGAGCAAAAGTAAATGTGCGTACAACAAGTTTCGACTCAAACAGTGGGCATCTACTTCTTCTCCTATCATCACACTGCTACTGGGCTATAAATCCAGTACTGTTGTAAGGAGTAATTTTTTCCTTTGTATCTCACTATCATAAACTATGCTGAATGGGTGTCTTACGAACAGAGTGTCAAATTGAGGCAAGCGTGAACTTAGTGCAGGTTGTCCAAAATCAGGCCAAGCGGACAAAACATGAATGTGTGAGAACAGTATGGAAGTTCACAAGGAAAGGAGGAGGCTATAGCCATGAGAAACTGAGATGGTCTAGTCTTGTTTTCGATCTGGTCTTGTGTCAGCACCTACATATTAAGATATTTGCTCTGGAGACAGAGCATCTATCTGTGAGTATGCACCAGAAACTATGAAGTGGATTCCTAAATTATTAATCACTGTGAATATTTGTCTTGGGTCTCCTGCAAATCACTCTTGTCTGGCTTCACCCTATAAGAGTTGCTGTTCTTGGAGGTTCATGAAGATTGTTGATTTACTCATTTAATCCAATCCAATCCGATTTTGAGCACACACAAAAATCAGCATGTTCAACTAGCATCCCTAAAGGGGGGGAGCTTTTGGTTATAATTGTGATGGTTATTTGCACCATATAGAATGACTTAATACTGCTGGCCACCAAGAAAAGGACTTTTCAGCGTTGATGCAATCAAAGGAGACAGACCCAAATAACCCTCCCGACCGACGACGAGGCCGTCTACCGACCAGCCAAAGGGGGACCTGGTCATCGATGTCCATTTAATCACCCTGCCTCCCTGTAGACAGGCCACTGCTTGTATACTTCCCCGACAGTCTCACCAGCAAGCCTAGCAGCTTGTTCAGAATACAGAAGAGAAAGAATGAATAAAAGCATCACGAATTGACATCACTGCACACGCAAAATTCCCACATGTGGTCCATCTCCTTCCTCGAAGAGTTGGTATGCTAACAGTACCAGTTATAAGATGATTAAAAGTCTGCGTGTTTCCCCCTCTGTGTTGAAGATCTTCCAGAACCTCTACTTACCCCTAATGAATTAGTCTTTCAACGTACGGATTCTCTGACTGTTATACTGCACCATCCATCTGATCCCAAAGGGCCTTCACAGAACAGAAAGATGAAAACCACATACCAACCATTACCTGTGATCTCTCCCATTTGGGAAGGTCCTCTGGCAATTTTATCTTCTTCTCCGGAACAACAAACGTGTGAGTGGAGACATCAATAATGTGGCTTTCTTTATCTGATAAATCTGTAACAGAAAAATAGGTCATTTGGGGATAAAGGAAATTAAGTGACTACCTCTTCTCACACATGAACAAGCAGCATGGTTCTCAGTTTGACCAGTTTAAAAAACACTGCAGATTCACTAAAATAAGCATCATCATTTGCTGAGATCTTCTGCACTCACCCTCAAAACCACTCTTAAACTCAACATGTTGGCGTCTGTGGCTTAGGCACTGCAAACGGGCTTTGTAATGCCAGGGTGCCGGTTCGATCCCAGCTGCAGGCCTTGCGTTGATTTCGACAGTGGTATCGAGAAGCAGACCATCCAGAAAGCAATGGCAAACTACTGGATGTAAATTTGCCCAGAAAAACCAGGACAGTCACAGAATGCTAGGGTTGGTTTTGCAACGTCTTGTTAAGGATACACAATAACTTCAAACTCAACACATCTGAATACAGCAAGCGACCTTCAAAAGCACAATTGGTATGTGTTGTGATTTATATTTTTTGAGAACTCTTTCGCATCTCAACTGACAACAATAGACTGCATACACTATTCTTATTTCTGGGGCATGCTACTTTTGTGTGAGCTATTGTATTTTACATTCAACTTCTTTAATGTCTTGTCTCTGCTGTTATCAAGGTACTTAAGTCTTAAGTATATAAAACAATAGTAAACAACATACCTTGTGACTGAGTCGAAGACATGTCAGACATCTGCTAGTGGTCAAGAAGAACTGTGGGCATCAGGTGCTAAGCCTAGGAACTCCTACCTAACTAGTGGTAGTGGTCCTAAGTCTAAGAAGTACTACTTGGTCTTGTTACTAGTGGTGGTGATTGACATTCAGTGAAGACGATCTGACAGAAAAAGTGCTAACTACAAACTTTGTTAAGCCCGAGTTTAATTTAAAATTATAAAAGTTAACAACACCTTCAACTAACTACACAGTTGCAACGCAAATCAGACGTTGTAAACAATTGAATTACAACAGTGTTTTAGTTTTAGTTTTATTTTTTTTACAAAACAGTGAACAAAACAAAATATGTCGCACCCGGCAGCGATAGATGAATGAAGAATTGGAACTGATCTTATCTACTTAAGTACAAACAAGCTATATCACAATTGGCACTAATTTTTACATCTGCTATGACCATTAAGTATTAACAACATGCTACAATAGATAAAACGAGAATATCAGTGGCAATGGGCCACAGATCATTATTATCAGTTGTGGAGAATCTTCAGTTATTCCTCTCTTCTCGAATGTTTCTTTACTGCTGGAGAAGCAGACGATGGCGGTGTCCAGATTTCACGCAGTCTGAAGGTTGTAATTCTTTCTTTGATTTTATTTTATTCAAGAACCAACATCACAGCACTCGGGGCATTCCCATAAGCGCTCCGTCCCCATCTTCAGCAGCAAGCGAAGAGTTCCGATACTAATGGTGCCAGTAGCTTTCTGATTAAACGTCCGTCTTGCCTTTCCTCTGAGCCTTGAGCTTCTGCCAGAACCTCTCGTCACCCCCAACTGCATCACTCTCACCAGACTGTGGTGATCCATCTGCTCCTCCGCATTGTACAAGCTCTCCCACAAGGCACTAACCACGTTTCGACAGTGGTATCAAGAAAGCCGACCGTCCAGGAAGCAACGGCAAACTACTGGATGTAACTTTGCCTAGAAAAACCACACAACAGCTAGGGGGCTGTTGGGTTGGTTCTGCAACGTCCTGTAAAGGATACGCAACTAACCAACCTATCCCTAGTTATTCTATCAAAATCTTTAACGACTGCTTTTCTCATGGTCCTGTCTGTCATTTTTGTCTGCCTGTTATACAAATATTTTTTTTTTTTCAGAAGAGCCTGTCCTATCTCACACACGACCTGACCGTGTTTACAATAAATCACATCTTGGCGGAATATTGGTTCATGATAAATGATAAGGGGGACGTGGTTGATACCTCACGGGGGCACGTGCACAGTTTGGAGCCAAAAGATGCATCATCAATGATCATCAGAGATGTGTTACCCGTGACCTCAGGCAGAGGAGTCAGAGCTGAAGGAGGTCGTGTGTGACTATACGTCCCCGTTTTCTGTGTGTATCCCAGCCGTCCTGTCGCTACTTGAAAACGCACCAGTTGCCACGTTTTATAGGAATAAGGTCAAGAACATAACATTATTTATAGCTGTTGACATTATATTTCATAAGTTTAGATACTTTAAATGCATAAAATGGGTTAATATGAGATTTAATTTTAGCATGTTCTCCTAAGTCCTACCCCATCTCTCCCCCTTAATTGCAGTTAAAACGCAAAATTTTATTTGGTTTATTTCTTGGCAGCAATGGCTCTGTGTTTTATACCATTGTCGAGCGAGTAACTAATCCGTTCACACCGGTGACCTTACAGGATAGGGATAGAACAAGGTAGACAAAAAAAAAAAAAAAAGGAATGGGGGGGTGGGAATACACTGACTTGATGACCCGTTTTCAATTGAAAATATTAGTGGGACGTCCCGATTTCAGCTCAAGATATTACGGTCACCCTGGCTGAATTATATAACTTCTAGATGCTGGACGGTTTAAAGCCATAACATGGAAGATCATCTGGGTCAGAGGTGATTGAAAATACACGAGACTACCAACGCCACAAGGCATGGGCTTTGAGAAGAAGGTGAGGAGTGACGAGAGGCTCTGGCCGATACTCGACGCTAAGAGGAAAGGCAGGACGGACATATAATAATAATAATGATAATAATAATAATAATAATCAGACTGCTATTGCCACCATCGGAATAGGAACTCTGTGCTTGCTGCTGAAGATAGGGACGGAGCGCTTACCGGAGTGCTCCGAGTACTGTGAGGTAGGTTTTTGAATCAACTCAACAATAAATCGTACCAAACTGAGGCGGGCCGCTCCTTTCGGCTTATCTGCCTATGCAGTTTCCAGAACTTTCCTGATTGTTCCCCTCCCCCCACCACCCCTGATATCCATAAGAGGTTATTCTAGAATTATTATTATAATTTATTAATTATTTATGATTAATGCGGGCGTATATCCTAGCCGGCACGCTCCTACTCTACCAATGTCGAAATCCTATATGATTTTTAGAGTTTTTATATTTGTAGGTCTGGAATATTAATCATAGAATGCATTGATTGAGTGAGTGAGTCGCGACGTTGCAGTCATTTTAAACATCAATAACAAATTTTATTTTTCGTAAAATTGCAAGATATTATAAATAAAATTGTAGTAACAAATCAGTGGGGATGTAGCTCAGTGGTAGAGCGCTCGCTTCGCATGTGAGAGGCCCCGGGTTCGATCCCCGGCATCTCCAGAATTTTATTTTTAAAATTTGTATTTTGAAAAGAACAGTGTCTTTGCACTGTTGTGCGCGATCATACTTTCTTTCTTCTTATGATGGACTGACTCTCAAAAGACTGCGTTTATTTGAAACACTGTCGGGAGGTCCCTGTGTATGTTCCGGGGCCCCACTGTAGGGGAAAACAAGAATAGATAAAAACACACTGCCGCCCCAAAAAGCATGTCATAGGAGTCGACGATTTACCGGTTTCCATCGTAGCCTAGGAGGCAAGGAACAAACAGTCTGACTTAAAAAAAAAAAAAAAAGTAAGATCTGGGGCAACACTCAAGTTCTCTACCAAAACCTGTAGAGGTGGACAAACACCCAGAACTTTCTCTCAGGAGGTTTCAGAAAAAGAAGAAGCCAGTACAACACCGAACCTTTGACATGTTATTGCCAGTACAAAACTCATGGAAAGGAACAGTACTGTGGTCCCCCCCCCCCCCCCCCGTGTGGGTTCCGGGGCTCTATTGTGGGGAAAACAAGAATAGACCCACTGCCTCCCCAAAAGCATGCCGTAAGAGTCGACTAACTGGGGAGCTTCCTTTGAAGTCGGAGTGCATCTGCCTGAGAGGCAAGGAACCAGCAGTCTGCATTCAATTGAATCAGATCTGTAAAACTGATGCACATGCAACACTCAGGTTCTGGAGCATGACTGCAGTTCAGTAGTGGACGAACAACCAGAACTTTACGCCAGAGTGTACAGCTGGTGAACACAAAGAAGAAAGAAGAAGAAGTACTGTGGTCCATCAATGGTTATTGTACCTTTATTGTCTCTAACTCTCTTCTCTCTGGATGCGCTTGTGTCCTCACATTCGATTTTGTTATGTATCACATCATTCTGAAATTAACATCTAATGCAGTAAATAAACAAGGTATTGAGACAGCTCAGCCCCTCGTTCATCACCAGACAATCCCGATCAGCACAGAGGACCATCCATCAGGGCTGCGTTAGCGCAGTCGATAGAAGACTCGCTTTCAAATCCAGCTGTGACTCGCTGCAGCTCATGGCCGATATTCAAAACCGGGCAGTTCCCGGGGTTCACCCAGCCTCTAGGAAATGGATACCACAGTTGACACAGGAGTAAATGGGGGAACATCGCTGAAGCTACGGAGTTACGTGTGCGGAAGGCGACACAGGCGAAGAGTTTCTTATCAGTTGTCCGTACTGGTGGCAGAGCACTTACGGTTTATAACCGTGGGCAATGACGCTGGTTCACATATCCCGATTTACCTACAGTGGGCCATCCAATGCCGAATTTACATACACGCTAAGTAAGATACAGCTTAGAGGGCCTCACAATCTCCAGTGCCTAAAATAATTCATATTGATCTTTAAGAAATGTAGTTTTACTTTCAACATATTTAAATTTATATAAACAAAAGTTTAACATTGTGACTTGGAGCCTTTTAAAGAATTATGTAATATAATTTCTGCGATTGTGCGAACACATTCTTTGTAATTTCATCTCATAAACAAATTACGCGACAATAAATGCCCATTATCCATGTATTTAGAAGGCGTATATATGTGTGTATATATCTGAACATCAAGGAAGATTGGCTAATAAACAGCCTCCTTTCTCGAAAGCTGAAATATTTTGGTCATATCAAGCGCCACGACGGATTGCAAAAAATTATAGCAGAAGGCATGGTACCAGGAAGGAGGGGCAGAGGCCGACCGACACGAAGATGGGCACAGGATATAAGTGATTCCTTGAGTGTGAAAGTTCATGAGGCGGGAGAACTGGCAAGAGACCGAGTTTCTTTCAGGCAGACTGTGATGAGAGCGACGTTCTGCAAAGGACCTGCTACATGATGATGATGATATATGTGTGTGTGTGAGTATCTTCCCAAATGGGTCGCCACTCACAGGTTGAGAACTGTTGGTATAGAGCATCCCTGTGATAATACAGGACAATGACATGTGACCATGATGTAACAATAAATGATGAAGACATAGAAAATATCACACAATTTGAATGAGAGTTGCCGTGATGTAGTGGCTAGATGCTCGACGATGAGCTGAAAAGACGTGGGTTGATCTAACGGAGCTGGATTTAAAAAAAAAATTAATTTGCCTGCCATGTGTAGTAGACACCATGTATATATTTGTAAGGTAAAGGCGGCCGGACTGATATTGACCATATCATCCTCCAAGTGCCGATGGCCCATAGGTGTGGCCCTATATTCCCAATACTACTGGAGGCGTGGATAAAGGTTCTTTTTAAAACACATATTTTAACAATATAAAGATTAAACAGCATTTTCCCCGTGTGGGTTCCGGGGCCCCATTGTGGGAAAAACAAGAATAGACCCACTCCTACCCAAAAGCATGTCGTAAGAGTCGACTAATTGGGGAGCTTCCTTTGAAGTCGGAGTACATCTGCCTGAAGGGCAAGGAACCAACAGTCTGCATTCAAGTGAATCAGATCTGTAAAACTGATGCACACGCAACACTCAAGTTCTGGAGCAGGACTGCAGTTCAGAAGTAGACGAACAACCATAACTTTCCGCCAGAGTATACAGCTGGTGAACGCGAAGAAGAAGAAGAAGAACAGCATTTTTTTTTCTACGTATCCAGAAACCGTGAGTTGTAAACCCTTTGGCTCGGTACTATGGATATCGCAACCCTTCGGCCTTGATTCCATTATAGGTACCGTTAATCTGGGAGAAATGTGGCTTTTCTGCCTACCCCCGGGAGTGAACCCGGACCACAAGGAGTTCGTCACCCGGCCGCCGCGAACGTCAGGTTTAACCAACTTCGCTAGAGAGCCGGGCTAGAAGAACAGCATTAAATAAGTGCAGTCATCTAAGCATTTTCGTCCTTAAGAAATTAAATAGTGTCTTTGGTGGAGCTGAAACGCTTTAGAAAGATTTTCATAATACCATGGACAAATAAGAAAAGAAATATTGCCATTCTAAGAGATTTGAACGTCAAGGGAGATTGGCTAATAAACGGCATCCTGTCTTGGAAGCTGCAAAATTTTGGCCACACAAAAGCCTCACTGTGGACCGGAAAAAGTAACCGTAGAAGGCATGGTACCACGAAGGAGGGACAGGGGCCGACCAACACAAAGATGGGCACTTGATACACGCAACGCCTTCCTTGAATGTGAGGCTACACGAGACAGGATAGCCGTTAAGAGTCCGATTTTTTTTTCTTCAGAGTGTGATGAGAGCGACGTTCTGATGAGAAACTGCTACATGATGATGAGAGCAATAGCTGATGATGTCACTGCAGCCAAAACTATTTTTTTTATACCAACGCAGGCGCAACACATGAAAAGATCTGGAGTGAAATCAAGAGGCCGCCCTAGGAGAACTTGGATTGATGACATTAAAGAGTTTCTATATTAACACAGAATGACAATAGCCATTGCTGCTCATCAAGAAATGGATCGCAAACTAATCATCCCAGCAACGCATACCAGCAGAAGTGAACACTGATGATGATGATGATGATGCTATGCTTAATGAATGCTTATGTGTTTTCTGTACTCAACCACAAGAGAGCTATACAATCACAGAAAAGGTGTCCGTCTGTGGACAGGGCAGGTCTACTGTTTCAATGCTATATGAATAAATTATGCCATTTCGGGCTTCGCTGACGTTTCTTGGAGTCGCCGGTGTTCTTGAGATGTGTTGAAGCCTTCTTTTGGATATAAACTGTGTGTACGGATGATTCTTATGTCACGAATGCAACAGTTGTGCATCGACAGTGAATCTGATGTGCTGAAAACCACTCCCACCAATGCAGTTGCAATCCATCGTCTTTTCTTTCGAACGTAGCCAGCTGGCGATCAATCAATAAATAACAGTAATACCGCTGAAAATGAAGCTGACACTGTTACGTCTGATAACAAGGCGTCGATTTTGGACCTTACTGTCCATCTAGTATACGGTAATGTGTTCGTTTAATTAGCCTATGCGTTTGACTGCCAAAATGATAACTTGTTCCAACATGGATACGTCAACCGTTTTCAAATTCTTTTACTTTTACCATTTATTAGGATGTGGAGATCGCCATTCAGGTTTATTTTTCGACCATCACAAGATGTAGAAAACAGTCTGGCAAGGTTTTTTTTTTCTCACAGCTAACGTTTAGTAAGTTGAACAGTAATAATAAAATAATAAATTACCATCGTTAAATGTAGATTATTGTAGTGACATATACTATTGACACCCCCCAACCCCCCAATCTCCTGCCTCTACTGCTAACTCGTGAAAGTGGAGATTGTACCTCCTCACCCTGCTACTACATTAATTAATGAATAATAAATGTGGTTATATACTTCTCCTCGGGTCTCTTCTGTTACCTCATTGTATGTGGATCCCCCCCTTATTTTAAAATTTTCTCCAACTGTTGAATCAATAAACGTGAATATATATTTCTTCTCTACTGTTACCTCAATAAATGTGTATATGTTTCTCCTGTCTCCACCCTTCTCTACTGCTACCTCAATAAATGTGGATATATTTCTCCTCTCTCCACCCTTCTCTACTGCTACCTCAATAAATGTGGATATATTTCTCCTCTCTCCACCCTTCTCTACTGCTACCTCAATAAATATGGATATATTTCTCCTCTCTCCACCCTTCTCTACTGCTACCTCAATAAATGTGGATATATTTATCCTCTCTCCACCCTTCTCTACTGCTACCTCAATAAATGTGGATATATTTCTCCTCTCTCCACCCTTCTCTACTGTTACCTCAATAAATGTGGATATATTTCTCCTGTCTTCTGCCTTCTCTACTGCTACCTCAATAAATGTGGATATATTTCTCCTGTCTTCTGCCTTCTCTACTGTTACCTCAATAAATGTGGATATATTTCTCCTCTCTCCACCCTTCTCTACTGTTACCTCAATAAATGTGGATATATTTCTTCTCTTTTCACCCTTCTCTACTGTTACCTCAATAAATGTGGATATATTTCTCCTGTCTTCTGCCTTCTCTACTGCTACCTCAATAAATGTGGATATATTTCTCCTGTCTTCTGCCTTCTCTACTGTTACCTCAATAAATGTGGATATATTTCTCCTCTCTCCACCCTTCTCTACTGCTACCTCAATAAATGTGGATATATTTCTCCTCTCTCCACCCTTCTCTACTGCTACCTCAATGAATGTGGATATATTTCTCATCTTTTCTTTCTTCTCTACTGCTTTGCAGATCTTAGCTAGTTAAGAACTACTGTGCTAGATAATACAAGTTGTATTTGTCCTCACAGGACGATGGCAAAGCCTCGGGAGAGAATGCCAGCTGTAGAGCTCAGTTCTGCATTTCAGAAAAAGGCAAATCTGGAATTTCAGAGGCTGAGGGATACAGTAGCAAGAAATTTGAAAGAGGAAATGCTTGGGTATGAGGACTAAGCAAAATTGTCCCCCCCCCCCCACCCCCCCCCCTGCTAATCTTCCTTCTTTTTCTTTCTGTTTCTCTGATGTCATTGTCAAAAACTCTTGACATTGCACACAGCAAATCAGGCGCATGGGCTGTCTCTCACCATATTGTCATCTGTGCGTGTCACTGTCACTTTTATGTCAAAGTATCTGTTACTGGCTGTCTGTCACCGTATTGTCATCTGTGCATGTCACTGTCACTTTTATGTCAAAGTATCTGTTACTGGCTGTCTGTCACCATATTGTCATCTTTGCGTGTCACTGTCACTTTTATGTCAAAGTATCTGTTACTGGCTGTCTGTCATCGTATTGTCATCTGTGCGTGTCACTGTCACTTTTATGTCAAAGTATCTGCTACTGGCTGTCTGTCACCATATTGTTATCTGTGCATGTCACTGTCACTTTTATGTCAAAGTATCTGTTACTGGCTGTCTGTCACCATATTGTCATCTTTGCGTGTCACTGTCACTTTTATGTCAAAGTATCTGTTACTGGCTGTCTGTCACCGTATTGTCATCTTTGCGTGTCACTGTCACTTTTGTGTCAAAGTATCTGTTACTGGCTGTCTGTCACCATATTGTTATCTGTGCATGTCACTGTCACTTTTGTGTCAAAGTATCTGTTACTGGCTGTCAGTCACCATATTGTCATCTGTGCGTGTCACTGTCACTTTTGTGTCAAAGTACCTGTTACTGGCTGTCTGTCACCATATTTTTATCTGTGCATGTCACTGTCACTTTTGTGTCAAAGTATCTGTTACTGGCTGTCAGTCACCATATTGTTATCTGTGAATGTCACTGTCACTTTTGTGTCAAAGTACCTGTTACTGGCTGTCTCTCACCATATTGTTATCTGTGCATGTCACTGTCACTTTTGTGTCAAAGAATCTGATACTGGCTGTCTCTCACCATATTGTCATCTTTGAGTGTCACAGTCAAACTTTTGTGATGTCAAAAAACACATAATTGGCAACCCATCGCTTTGACACATTCATGATACTACATCACTACACAATCATCTGGGAAGACCGAAAGGCATCAGTAACAACGCTACGTCCCTCACAATTAGATTAATTTAACATAACAGTAACTTCATCAATACCAGACGTTTGTTAACTATTCTATACTTATTACAATGTAGATGACTTTAGGTCATCTCGGATGTTGAATTTTCTTTTCTGGTTTGCTGTGAGTGACCTCATCTGTTACTGGTAGCATAGAATTAGAATGTACATGCTTTTGGAGGAATTGTGGAGAAAACAAATCAACAGTTAACATCCATAAGACTCCATTAGCAGACTCAACAGAAAACATACAATAGCTTTCCACCTAAGAACAGGACACTGCAGGCTCAACTACTACATGCATAATATAAAGACTGTACAGTCTCCACAGTGTGCCTGTCAGACAGGACCACAAACACCTGAGCACATTCTGCAGACCTGCCCACTCTACCTACAACTATGAAAAGGAACCTGGCTTTGAAAGCAAAATATGCAGAATAAGTTATGGGGAACCATGAAGGACTTCAACTGACATGTGAACAGTCCACGTGACAGCCTGATCTGAGCATACAAAGAACTAGATGCAGAGAAGAAGAAGAATATACTTTGTATGAGATGTTTCTTTGTCCTGCTTGAGATTGTTTTATGTTGTAGAAAAGGGGGAGGGGGGTGCTATCTGTCCCAATACCTGGTTTGCTTGACTGCATCAGATGTTAATTTCTTCATTACTGTGTTAGTTAGTCATGCAGAGTGTTTGGTATTATGTTCCCAGATTGCTGGAGGATGAGATACATTCCGATCTGTTGATCACAAATGGGAAAGTTTCAGTGAGAGCTCACAAGTGCATAGTACAAGCTAGGTATGGGCTTTTGATGATTTGTTCCATGACATGTCCTAGCGTAGGCTCCATTATGAGCTTTTGATGATTTGTTCTGTATGTCCCAGGGTATGCCCCATTATATGGTACCTGATATGTCTAAGCCAGTGTTCTTCAACGGATGATTTGTTCTGTATGTCCCAGGGTATGCCCCATTATGTGGTACCTGATATGTCTAAGCCAGTGTTCTTCAACGGATGATTTGTTCTGTATGTCCCAGGGTATGCCCCATTATGTGGTACCTGATATGTCTAAGCCAGTGTTCTTCAACGGATGATTTGTTCTGTATGTCCCAGGTATGCCCCATTATGTGGTACCTGATATGTCTAAGCCAGTGTTCTTCAACGGATGATTTGTTCTGTATGTCCCAGGGTATGCCCCATTATGTGGTACCTGATATGTCTAAGCCAGTGTTCTTCAACGGATGATTTGTTCTGTATGTCCCAGGGTATGCCCCATTATGTGGTACCTGATATGTCTAAGCCAGTGTTCTTCAACGGATGATTTGTTCTGTATGTCCCAGGGTATGCCCCATTATGTGGTACCTGATATGTCTAAGCCAGTGTTCTTCAACGGATGATTTGTTCTGTATGTCCCAGGGTATGCCCCATTATGTGATACCTGATATGTCTAAGCCAGTGTTCTTCAACGGATTGACAGCAACTCACGAAAAATCCAGGTGGCCTGACAGAAATGTCTGCCTTACCATGAAACAGGGTCGGGTAAGTAGTTTGTCTCTTCCACAGTTGCTGACTTAGAGACCAGAGTAAAACAGGTGCAAACCCTGGAAACCCCTTTCAGTGACAGAAACCAGTAATATTATGGTACCCGATGGTTACTGGTCTGTAGACCAGGTTTGAGGTTTTGAACAACGGATCAACATCATGGCACACAGGTAGTAACCCATAAGTGCTCCGTTCTTCTAACTCAAGCCTGAGTCCGAAGAATCTCAGCACAGTGCACAGGCTCTGTAGCACCGGTGAGGATCCTAAAATACTTTGGGTAGATTTTTAACTCCAAATTTTGCCCGGACAGCACCGCTAGGCTACCCTTTTTGATTTCCAATTGCCAAGAGATTTTTTACATGCGCAACAATGCACATGGACGTCCGATGTCACTACCAAGAGACCAGGAGGAATTACTAGAAGTCCAAGTTCATGTGAACAAATCCTAGCCCTTACCAGGGATTAAACCCGGAACCTCTAGCATTCGAGGCGGACACCATGCCTTGAGATCCATGCAGCCCCCTGTAGACCATGGGTTGAAGAACATGATGTCATTAGTCCATTCTGGCTTAGTTATTAATGTAGCTCATATTGTCCTATAGTGTCATTATATGTGCCCATGAAAATGACAGGACCAAAAAAAAAAAAGTAGATGTAAAAGACCATTTAACAAGCCTTCAAACGTATTGGGCATATAGGGCTAGAGTCGGCGCTCAGTGAGTGATGTGGTCAAAATCACACCATTATCTTCTGTTGGGGCACACAAACAAATAATTCTAACCTGCACAGAGTGTGATGACAGCACTAGCCGTGTGGCATCGAATCCTCAGGCTCACAGACCCCCCTTTTTTCCTGCCTACACCACAAATGTGGTAATTAAAAGCAGTAACGGCAGAATTTTTTCTTTATGCTACACGCTTGCTTCACAAAGCAGAGCACACAGATGTGTTGATAATCTGTGTATGCCCCTAGGTGCAGGCATTTATGGCAGGAGAACTGGCTGACCCAGATACTGGACCCTGACAGCGACTCAGAAATAAGCTGTTTAGAGATGACAGGACTTAGCAGTGACCAGCTGGCTCAATTTGCCAGGTAAGGCTGCAGTTTTTATTTTGTTCTTTATGCACAGTGGAAGTTGTCTGAAGGGAATTTGTTAACCCACTGCTGTCTTTAGGAATATTGCGTAGTCTTCTTCTTCTTCTTCTTCAATCCTTCTGTCAAAAAATGTATACAAGAAAGCCGGTTAGCTATAGTGCAGTCCATATCTCCCCATGTACCATACAGCTTTGTCTGCATTGAGGTAGAACAGGCCAGAATTACCTCTCTATTAGCAGCCTGTAGTTTAAAGTGTTGGAATCCATGCTCAACGGGAATACATCTCTGTCGTTCCTGCACAACATATGTTGCCAAAGTCTGCTGTGCCATTTTCTTAGTCTGAATATGACTTTTTTTCCCTTTAGAGAGGCTGTGAAATGCCAATTACTGCCTTTATATACCACTTCTGCGGTGAAAGTGGGGAGGGGGGGAATTTAAGGTCGCATGGCTAGTGCTGTCGCCACGACTGTGCATATGAGGATTTTATTTTGCCCCCGGCAGAAACATTGATGGTCTAAAAATGTTGGATTAGTAGCAAATATTAAATTTATAAAAATTCACCTATGGGTTCCTAGTTGCCATTTCGGGAAAAACAAAGAATAGACCCATTTTCCACCTGAGCAAGCATCTTCTAATTAGTTCTACTGGACGTAAATTTGCTTTGAAAAACCACAACAGCCACACAATTCTGGGGGTTGGTTTTGCAGCGTCCTGTAAAGGATACACAACTATCTTTAACCTACTTAGTCACTTTTTACAACTTGCTTGTTAGTCGGCAGTAGGTTTGCTGCTTTTCTCCCTAAAATGGGAGCTCTGAAACCCACACAGAAAGGCCATCATCAGACAGTCTTCAGCTGAATTTACAGGCATATCTTAAGAAAAAACAGCTTTATTTGATGTAAAATTTATCTTTTTGTGCAATATATATTTTTTCTGCTTTTCTACAGGCAGCTTTATTCTGTGAGTGATCCAACTCTTCTCCTGGAGGAGTATATAAAATACATGCCCAGATGTAAAGAGAGCTCTTCACAGTTAGAAACAGGATTTGACAACACCACATCTGCTGATTTTCACCAGCCAGAAACAGAGGTTCTTTCAAATTCTCCTGTGCTAGCAGATAATTTTAAAGTAGAACCAGGAAAACAACATATTACTAACGGAAGAGCCAGCCAGTCCAGTGATGTGGATGATAGGAAAACATTAGATCTGCCATTGCTGCATTGTGAGGCACTAGATAGTAGTCATGATGATAAACAGAGCATCTATGAAGATCAGCCAGTGTATACAGAAACTAAGATCGTTTCCTTGCCTGATGTGCCTGCAGGAAGTAATATTGTCTGTGCAGAAAGTAAAACTATTTCATCAGATATAGAAAGTAAGAATGCTTTATTGTCCAATGTCCCCACAGAAAATACATACATAGACAGTATAATTGTACGCACACAAGGTAATACATCAGACGCAGAAATTAGGGATTTCTCATCACCTGAAGTCAGTACAGAAAGTAAGACAGCAGAAGCAAAAAGTAGGACAGCACAAGCAGAAAATAAGATAGCACAAATAGAAAGTAAGACAACACAGGTGGAAAGTAAGACAGCACAATCACAAGCAGAAAGTAGGACAGCACAAGCAGAAAGTAAGACAGCAAAATCACAAGCAGAAAGTAAGACAGCACAAGCAGAAAGTGAGACAGCACAATCACAAGCAGAAAGAAAGACAGCACAAGCAGAAAGTAAGACAGCACAAGTAGAAAGTAAGACAGCACAAGCAGAAATTAAGACAGCACAAGCAGAAAGTAGGACAGCACAAGCAGAAAGTAAGACAGCACAAGTAGAAAGTAAGACAGCACAGTCACAAGCAGAAAGTAAGACAGCACAAGCAGAAAGTAAGACAGCACAGTCAAAAGTAGAAAGTAAGACAACACAAGCAGAAAGTAAGACAACACAAGCAGAAAGTAAGACAACACAAGCAGAAAGTAAGACAACACAAGCAGAAAATAAAACAGCACAGTCACAAGCAGAAAGTAAGACAGCACAGTCACAAGCAGAAAGTAAGACAGAGCAATTACAAGCACAAAGAAAGACAGAACAGTCACATGCAGAAAGTAAGGCAGCACAGCCACAAGCAGAAAGTAAGACAGCACAAGCAGAAAGTAAGACAGCACAAGCAGAAAGTAAGACAGCACAAGCAGAAAGTAGGACAGCACAAGCAGAAAGTAAGACAGCACAAGCAGAAAGTAAGACAGTGGAATCACAAGCAGATAGTGAAACAGCACAGACACATCACCTGAAATTTCGGACAGAGAGCAAAAGTAAAACAGCACATTCACAAACAGAAAATAAAACAGCTCAAGCAGAAAGTAAGACAACAAAAGTTGAATTTAAGACAGCAGAAGCAAAAAGTAGGACAGCACAAGCAGAAAGTAAGACAACACAGGTGGAAAGTAAGACAGCACAATCACAAGCAGAAAGTAGGACAGCACAAGCAGAAAGTAGGACAACACAAGCAGAAAGTAAGACAGTGCAATCACAAGCAGAAAGTGAAACAGCACAGATACAAGCAGAATGTAAGACAACACAAGCGGAAAGTAAGACTGCACAAGCAGAAAGTAGGACAGCACAAGCAGAAAGTAAGTCAGCACAAGCAGAAAGTAAGACAGCACAATCACAAGCAGAAAGTAGGACAGCACAAGCAAAAAGTAAGACAGCACAAGAAGAAAGTAGGACAGCACAAGCAGAAAGTAAGACAGCACAAGCAGAAAGTAAGACAGCACAATCACAAGCAGAAAGTAAGACAGCACAAGCAGAAAGTAAGACATCGCAAGTAGAAAGTAAGACAGTGCAATCACAAGCAGAAAGAAAGACAGAACAGTCACATGCAGAAAGTAAGACAGCACAGCCACAAGCAAAAAGTATGACAGCAGAAAGTAAGACAGCACAAGCAGAAAGTATGACAGCACTAATCGAAAGTAAGGGTTTCTCATCACCTGAAGTCCGGACAGAAAGCAAAACAGCACATTCACAAACAGAAAATAAGACAGCTCAAGCAGAAAGTAAGACAACACAAGTTGAATGTAAGACAGCAGAAGCAAAAAGTAAGACAGCACAAGCAGAAAATAAAATAGCACATGCAGAAAGTAAATCAACACAAGCAGAAAGTAAGACAGCACAATCACAAGCAGAAATTAGGACAGCACAAGCAGAAAGTAAGACATCACAAGCAGAAAGTAGGACAGCACAAGTAGGAAGTAAGACATCACAAGTAGAAAATAAGACAGTGGAATCACAAGCAGATAGTGAAACAGCACAGACACATGCAGAATGCAAGACAACACAAGCGGAAAGTAAGACCGCGCAATCACAAGCAGAAAGTAGGACAGCACAAGCAGAAAGTAAGACAGCAAAATCACAAGCAGAAAGTAAGACAGCACAAGCAGAAAGTGAGACAGCACAATCACAAGCAGAAAGTAAGACAGCACAAGCAGAAAGTAAGACAGCACAAGTAGAAAGTAAGACAGCACAAGCAGAAATTAAGACAGCACAAGCAGAAAGTAGGACAGCACAAGCAGAAAGTAAGACAGCACAAGTAGAAAGTAAGACAGCACAGTCACAAGCAGAAAGTAAGACAACACAAGTTGAAAGTAAGACAACAGAAGCAAAAAGTAAGACAGCACCAGCAGAAAATAAGACAGCACAAGCGGAAAGTAAGACAACACCTGCAGAATGTAAGACACCACCAGCAGAAAGTAAGACAGCACAAGCAGAAAGTAAGACAACACAAGTTGAATGTAAGACAGCAGAAGCAAAAAGTAAGACAGCACCAGCAGAAAATAAGACAGCACAGGCGGAAAGTAAGACAGCACAGGCGGAAAGTAAGACAACACCTGCAGAATGTAAGGCACCACCAGCAGAAAGTAAGACAGCTCAAGCAGAAAGTCAGGGCCTCTCATCACCTCAAGTCCCCGCAGAAAGGAATACATCACCTGTAGTAAATGGCACCACATATTCAGAAAGTAAGATATCACCTGCTATAAATAATGCAGCACATACAGAAAGTCAGACAGTAATCACAAGAAGTAAGATTCCACAAGTAGTAGAATCTATATCTGTGTCCAGTCATTGGAGTGAAGATTGCCAGGCCCTGCCATCAAGTTTATCACCTGGAGAAGGCACAGAGCTGGCTGAGCTTCAGGCACATCCTGCGGTGGTTCTCTCCAGTGTTTGTTCAGCTAGTGATTTGGTGGAGTCACAACTTACACACGGAACAGGAGCAGAGCTCACTAACCTGCTGGTACATCCTGAGGTGGTTCACTCCAGTGTTTGTTCAGCTAGTGATTTGGTGGAGTCACAACTTACACATGGAACAGGAGCAGAGCTCACTAACTTGCTGTTACATCCTGAGGTAGTTTCCTCCAGTGTTTGTTCAGCTAGTGATTTGGTGGAGTCACAACTTACACACGGAACAGGAGCAGAGCTCACTAACTTGCTGTTACATCCTGAGGTGGTTTCCTCCAGTGTTTGTTCAGCTAGTGATTTGGTGGAGTCACAACTTACACACGGAACAGGAGCAGAGCTCACTAACTTGCTGTTACATCCTGAGGTGGTTTCCTCCAGTGTTTGTTCAGCTAGTGATTTGGTGGAGCCACAACTTACACACGGAACAGGAGCAGAGCTCACTAACTTGCTGTTACATCCTGAGGTGGTTTCCTCCAGTGTTTGTTCAGCTAATGACCTGTTGGAGCCACAACTTACACACGGAACAGGAGCAGAGCTCACTAACCTGCTGGTACATCCTGAGGTGGTTCACTGTAGTGTTAGTTCATTTAGGGACTTAGAGACACCACTGCTGTTACATGAAGTGAGTGGTTGCAGTATCTTGGATAAGGACAGGCTTGAGTTGTTGGATTATCTCCAGCTAGAAGCAGAGATAGTGAATTCAGCAGATGATACTTCAGTTGACACTTGTGTAGGTCAGGATTTCTTGAACTTAGATGTATCAAAAAGTTTAACCGACAATGCTGGAAAAAGAAATCATGAGGTTGAAGATGGATACTTGCGGATGACCAGTCAGATTCTGACAGAACCTTCTGAACCTGTTAGCCATGAGAAGACACCCCTCTGTGATTTAGTGACATCAGATGCTGCTCCAGATGAATATAAAACCTGCAGTCCACTGGGCAGGGATTTGTTAAATATGTACTTACACAAAGACAACTGTGATTGTTGTTTGTCGGTGGACGGTGTCCACTTCATGGCTCACAAATGTGTCCTGTCTGCCCGTTGTGAATATTTCTTGGCCATGTTTGGGGGGCAGTGGTCAGAGAGCCAGATGGCGACAGTGAACCTTGAAGCTGTAACCCCCCAGGCAGTCAAGCAGCTGTTGCTGTTTCTGTACGGTGGGGTCATCAGTCTGTGTGTGCCCTCCAACCTGAAGGAGCTCTTCATTATTGCAGATATGTACGGTGTTCTGACTTTCAGGACAGTCCTGGCATTCTACGTGAAGAAGGACCTCTGTCACTTCTTCCACAAACCATGCCCAGCGTGTGTGACTACAACTTCCGAAGCTCTCGTTCTGTGCTACAACTTCCATCTAGAAGACCTTCAGGCACGATGCCTAAAATGGATATCCAAGTATTTCACAAAGGTGTGGCCAACAAAGACTTTCTCTGCACTAGAAGATTCCATCCACCAGTTATGTTTTGAGAGTATCTTGTCTGAGATCACCCCAAGTAACGTCCTGGATATTATAATTGAGTGCAATAAGTTAATTTCAAGTCTACCTCGTATCAAATGGACGGAAACGGTTCTGTATCTGGTGACAAGACTAATGGATGCCGCAATCGAGTATACATCCTCCCACTTTGTGGATGTTCTGAAAACAAAGGAGTTTTTACTCTGGGCCCAAGTAGCATCATGGAAAGCTTCTGTGCTGGAAGAAATCTTGTACTCAGTTATCAATTCCCTTTCTGTGGGCACAGCTTGTCAAGTTTTTCAGACTTTGATAAAACTAGAAGCGTTCCATTCTAATCCTGAGAGCTCAGATGAAGAAATAACTGCCTTGCTGCAGGCTATGATCAAATGCTGTGAGAAGTTCTTCAGGACACACATTCACCATGTGACAAGATCCAAGCAGTGGGCCGTGCTCCCTCAGCAGATCCAGTTAAGGATTCTAGAGATCGCCTCCTATGTCTACCTTCCTGAACCTCCTGGAAGCATGTCTTCCAGATCTGCTGCAAGTAAACTCCAGGTTGGGAAACATGAGAGGACATTACCCATCGGAATTACTGGAGCTCGCAACAGATCTGCTGCATCATCTGGGGCAATATCTGCACCAACTAGAACTGGTTTAATCTCGAAAACGTCCCCACATTCTGGCAGACGCACAGATAAATCTCGGGAAACAAGAATGTCCAGAAGCATCTCAGAATCATCGCCATCTAGAAGCCAGAAAATCGCAAACTTGCTAAAGGGCACAGAGGTTAAAGTGAGAGCCAGCAGTAGAGATAGACACAGGTTCGATTCATCTGTTCAGGCACGTAGTCTAGATAGAATTGACAGTGAAAATGAATATCATCTGTTTGAAGCCAAATTAATGTATGCTAGAGTTCAAAACCAAAGAACGATGCTACAAAATGCAAGTCATTTCGGCTACCAGGCAGTTTCACAGGGTTCACGACCAGGAGCAAATATTATGTCCAAACTTGATACAAAGAAAGGTGAAGTCTGCTCACTTCAAGACAGGGTGAGAGAGAATGTCCTGGAAGCTGAAAGTCCAATAAATTTACAGCAGGTGAGTCATTCTTTAAAGTTAACATTGTCTTCTCAATCAAAGCCTGGCAATGGAGCAAAAAAGCTGTCACCGGTTGGACAGAAAAGTCACATGACTTCTAAACTACCAACACTGATTCGTTCACAGAGACAGACTCAGCAGCAGTCTGTCTGCAGCGCCCACGAAGAGGCACCGGCACCAGAACATTCATCTAGTTCAAGTATTGAAAAACTACCCTCAGAATCATCATCTAGTGCTAATAATGAAGTCATTGCCTCAGACTGTGTGCTTCTTCAGAGCAACGAGGCAATGCCATCTAGTACAAGCATTGAGGGTATACCACCTGAATTTCCAGCTTCTAACAACAGTGAAATGACACTATCAGAAATGATGCCATCAGAAATGATACCATCAGAAATGATACCATCAGAAATGATACCATCAGAAATGATACCATCAGAAATGATACCATCAGAAATGATACCATCAGAAACTATACTATCAGAAATTATACCATCAAATACGGGAACCACATCTTCACCAGTTATTTCATTTAGCACAGTCACATCTGGTAAAGCCAACATCTGTGTGAAAAACCCCAAAGATAGGTCTGGTGTCTTGCCTGCAGCCTTACCAGCTGTTGACCCACTCTCTGATCTACCCTCGATCCTGCCAGAGCCAGCCAGTGCATCAAACAAAGACATCACTTTGAATCTCAGTCAAGATAGCAGTGATCACCATGTACAGCCAGCTGACTGTGTCAATCATCTACTCAACAAACTACACAAGGATACCTCACACAGTAGCCCAGAAAACTCTGGCAGCAGCTCACAGCAGCTCAGCACTGCAGATGTAATTGCCACATTGGATTTCAAAAGTTATCCTTCAGATGTGATCTTGTCTGATAGAGTTAGTGATGGCCACCTGGCAGCAGATCTAGAAACACCAGAAGTTGAAGCAGAAGTGAAGATTGTACATATGAGCAAGACTTTGAATGTTGGGTTTATTGTTCCCCCAGACTAGATATAACTGGTGAATCCTACATGTTGTTTTTTTAAGCTTCTTGGTATGGCCAGTGACTTGACTTCTTTATCTCAGGTGTCAATCTTCAGTCCTTGAAATTCAGTTAAAAAAAAAAAAGAACAAATCTGGTCCTGTACATTAATGTGGAAGCCACCATGGTATCACGGCTAGACACTACAATCTGCATTGAGTCAGATTAAAATAAAATGACTTTGGTTGCGAGACTGACCTGGCCAAAAGTGGGTGCCAGGTAATCTCGTGAAAAGTTGTCCACATCGCCGACCAAGTGCTGATTGGTCTATAAAATATAGGTCTATCACTGTATACCCTCTATGCCAAAGGGTGTGGAAAGGGTCCTTTACTTTTACTGTATATTATGTTTTTATTTTGCTTTACAATGGTAGACTCTTCTCCCCGTGTGGGTTTTGGGGCCTCATTTATTTTGGAAGTGGGGGTTGAAAAGGGGGGGGGGGGAGAGAATAGGCCCACTACCCCTGAACAGTCATAGTGTAGTTGGAGACTAATCAAGGATGTGCTGAACAATGTTTTGCACTAAAAGGTCCAAATATCACAGTCTAGCTGTAAAACACAACAGAGTGTGCCAACTGACTGCTTTTTAAAAACTCTTTAGATCCCCAGCAGTTATTACTTGAACTCCTCCTGTTCCAAGGAGTTAAGCTGAAAATAAATAACTTCTTTAGCCTGGAGGAGCTCAGCAGATACTTGAGGGCAGAAGTAGTTGAACTAATAATACCAATACAAAGGGTTACTGTACAAATTGTCCTGTGATAGTAGACATCAAGGACATCATATTATCTTTGGAACGATGTACTGAGTTGAGGGCAAACACATACGTAGAAGACTTTACACACACAAAAAACGAGCTCTGTGAGAAAGCTCTTGCCCCCCCCCCCCCCCCCCCCCCCCCCCCCCCCCCCAACTCTCACTGGAGCTGAAACCATTTACGCCATGACCTTTGCAGACTTGTTCCTGATTTTGTTGGATTATTGAGCTAAACTTTTCTTTGGGATGAAGTGGTCAGTCTCACACCAGTCTCGTTTTATTAGCCTGTTATGACATATATGGAAGGTTACATTGTTACTGTTCTATGTGTCCTTTTTGAGTCATGGTAGCCCATAGAAGAAATATGATTTTGTGCACAGAAAATTGAACAGTGGGATCCTTGTGTGTACATAAATGTGGGAAAATTCAATAGACTTATGGGCATTCTTGCACTGTAGATAAATGAGAGGAATCTGAGCCAGTAACAGACATTGTTGCACTACATGAGTAAACACAGGGGTGTGGTCTTCTCAAGATCATCTGCTGATGTTTAAAGCCTAGGGCACAGAAATCCCTGTGTGCCATAAGTTCTGCAGGTCATAAAAGAGGTAAGCAGAGGTACACTCTTTTACTTCTTCATGTTCACCAGTTCAGACTTGGCCGGAAAGTTGTGGTTGATCATCTTTTTGGACTTTAGTCTTATTCCAGAACTGGAGTTTTGCATGCATATTTGGTTGACAGACCTGGCTTATTTTTATGCAGACTATTGGTTCCTTGCCTCTAAAGCAGGTTCACTCTGACTTAGAAGGTAATGTCTCTAATTAGTCAATGTTTATTGCAGGCTTGGTGGGGGTGGGGGAGGAGTGGGGTGCAGTGGGTCTGTTCTTGTTCAGCCCACACTGGGGCCTTGAAGTCCATAAGAAAAACAGTAAATAATTGTTGAGAGAGAGAGGATGATGAGTCAGTATTTTTAGAGAGTGCACAAAACCTATAGGTAGGATCAGGGGTAAAAAGGAAGAACAAATATAGATGTGAGTGTGACAGATGAGTGAGAGGATAAAATTGCAAAATAAATAAATAAAGAAGTTAATTGAATATATGATGGACACTGAGACCATATGATGTAAGGATTCCAACTGAATAATTGACGTTGAGCTAGTGATACCAGTGACACAGTTAGTTGTTAATCTGTCAGTTTGTGAATGTCTAGACATTGTCAAATGCCGTAGTGGTCTGGAGAGAACAGCGTAGGAGGATGCAGTTTCTAGGAAATGAGGCCAAGGCTGACATTCACGAAGGTGGATACAGGACACAGAAGATGCATTGACTATCAAAGCACACAGGGCTGGAGAATTGGCTCGAGAAAGAGAGACTTTCAGGCACACTGTTAAGAGAGTGAGATTCTGTAAAGGATTGGCGGATTGACTGATTCAGATATTGTCAAAATGGATTTGGGTCATAAACAAAATGAACTTGGACATAAAAATCATTAAAAAGAGATGAGATTCTTTAGAATAACTGCTTTAGTAGCAAGAAGAGATACAATTAAAAATGAAGAAATTTGCAGTTCATTAAAGAGCAACAAATGAGACAGTACGGCCATCTGACCAGAATGTACGAGTACCAGCTGCCACAGAGAGCCATGCTGAAGAAAAATAATCAACACAGATAAGACCATGCAGAGGGTGGAGCAATGGCATCTAGAATTGAAGATCAACTTTTGCAAAGCATTAGAAGAGCACAGAGAAGATCGTCATAACCCCCCCACTCCCCTCTCCTCCTTTCTAACCACATTTCCTTCCACTCACTTTCATGAGGTAACTGGAGACAGAGAAGAAGAAGGAAATTGTGTTGTGACAACAGTTTGTCATTATCCAGCTAGATTCTCTGTTCTGACCTAATGATACAAATTTTGTTCCCTTCATGTCTACATTTTCAGTTCCCAGTACAAACCTTTGTTTCTATGGGTTTCTGAAGCTAGACCATGCTATGTGCAAACATTTGACATTCAGCTCACTTTGTCTCAATCACTTTTGTTGTTGTTACTCTTTGTTTTTTACACACTGTAGTATATTCTTTGTTGTATATTTGTTTTGGCTGTGATCATGATTTTTTTGGAAGCATATTTATTTGAAAACATTGTGATTAGAATAAAAAAATAAAATAAAAGTTACTTTTTTGTGTGTCTTGTGATTAGCATCAACCAACAACAGTTTGTTGAATTGCTTCTGAGTTTATTTGGAATTTTATGAAGACATGGACAGACCAGAAAAAATCTAGCAGCCCTTTAAGGTTCTGTCACCCAGCTGACGAGTTACATGCTTAGTGCGACACTGTGAGCTGTGGATTTCACATTGAGTGTTTTTATCTGTAATTCCGCAACAATCTCGTGTTGTTGACTGCACTAAAAATGGCCGATTAAATTCAGAATGGCACTTACTTTTAACAGTCAAGCCTATCAGAAGACCTTGTCTGTCAGTGTAAATTAAAACAAAAATTACAAGATGAAGAAACAGTGCCGTCTTTCGAGATTTGCACCATCAGTGAGCTGCAGTTGTGGTGGGGTCCGTCTATTAGTGTTGGTACATCTGACAACTGCCTCATACATTTTTACTTTGCTTGTGCAAGCTTCAAGATTTTACTGTGACTGATACGGTTTTCAGTAGTTTTCAAGTGGAAAGTCTTAAATTTGCGATCAGTTAAACCCCAACATCATCATCAAATGTTTTGACTTTAAAGCAAAGAGTCAGCTGTGGGCAACAAGACAGACAACAAACAGGCAGAGGCCTTGGAGGAGACATTGGTAAATACGGAGATCTGCTTGAACGATGGCAGACCAACTAGAAAATTCCTGACAGAGAAAGTTATACAGTCATCACTCTTGATCTCACCCTGTTCTCCTCCCAGCATGAGTGCATACTCTGCCAGAGGGGCTTCGTGGGACATCATGAAAGCGACCACCTGCCAGGCTCGATTTTGGTCAGGAAAACATACAAGATCCCAGAAACCAGGTGCCATTTTTAAGTACGGCGCTCCCCATACTGATGTAACTGTAATATGCCTGAATTAAAGATGATCAATGGGGCGATCTTAAGATCTAACGAAGACAAAGGCGAGGCACTCCTGCACAGATTTCTGCAACTGAAAAGACAGACAGAGATGAGAGGAAGAGGATGAAACATACAGTCCACAACATGCACATTGCTGAAATGGATGGAGGAGATGACACAGTGTACATCTCTGTTGCAAACATTAGAGCAGTATTGAAGACTTGTCCCGACTCAGCCACAAGATACAGCAGCAGCAAGGACATACTAAAGGACATTTTGTGTCATTTCCAGTGGTACAGGAATTGAGCGCTTATGGGCCGACCTGTCTGCCGGGATGTTGGGGCCTCGACCAATGACCAACTAGCAGTCCTTGAAAATCGCAAACTGATTGGATAAGACCTTAGTGAAGAAGCTGAAGAAAGACAAGATGAAGACAATCATAATTTTTGACTTTTCAGGTGTCCAAAATAGGGCTAAAGAGATAGGGGTCATGATTCAATCAATCCTCATTGGCCCAGAGGCACACAAGGCAGAGACAAACTGTCACCACTCAATTCGATCCTGAGCCATCCTCTCTATTTCCAGTTTTTACCTTCACGTGGCCTTGAGTTCAGCCTCAAAAGTTCACCTCCAAGTGCCCGCCTCTTCCTCGCTGTCCTTACGGTGTCCATTGCATTGCCTGTTTCGGCCGTCTCTCTTTCTTCATTCTGAGGACAAGTCCAATCCACCTCCATCTTTGGTTTTTTTTTTTTGGGGGGGGGGGATTTATAAATGTAGATTCCAGTCTATCGCCCAGAGAGAGAAAGAGAGAAATCATGTGGCAGGTCAGCAGACTCCAACCCAGTGCCCAGAGAAAGAGAGAAAGGGATCATTATCATGTGGCATGTCAGCAGACTCCAACCCAGTGCTCAGAGATAGATTATCATCATGTGACTGGTTGACAGACTCCAACCCAGTGCCCAGAGATAGATTATCATCATGTGACTGGTTGACAGACTCCAACCCAGTGCTCAGAGATAGATTATCATCATGTGACTGGTTGACAGACTCCAACCCAGTGCCCAGAGATAGATTATCATCATGTGACTGGTTGACAGACTCCAACCCAGTGCCCAGAGATAGATTATCATCATGTGACTGGTTGACAGACTCCAACCCAGTGCTCAG